GGGCTGGAGTGCAGCTAGAATAGAAAGGGAAGGAAAGATTACCTAAAATTGTCTTAAAAGTCATGAAGCTGACAAAGACCACTAGGGGGTACACCAAGGAAGCATAACAAAATGCGGAGACAAAGAAACAGGACAAAATTGTCAATGGAAGATATAGAGTTCAGAACCACACTTTTAAGGTCTCTCAAGAACTGTTTAGAAGCCGCCGATAAACTTAATGAGATCTACAAGAAAACTAATGAGACCCTTGATGTTATGTTGGGGAACCAACTAGAAATTAAGCATACACGGACTGAAATAACGAATATTTTACAGACTCCCGACAGCAGACCAGAGGAGCGCAAGAATCAAGTCAATGATTTGAAATGCGAGGAAGCAAAAAACACCCAACCGGAGGGGCGGAATGAAAAAAGAATCCAAAAATGCGAGGATAGTGTAAGGAGCCTCTGGGACAGCTTCAAGCGTACCAACATCAGAATTATAGGGGTGCCAGAAGATGAGAGAGAGCAAGATATTGAAAACCTATTTGAAGAAATAATGACAGAAAACTTCCCCCACCTGGTGAAAGAAATGGACTTACAGGTCCAAGAAGTGTGGAGAACCCCAAACAAAAGGAATCCAAAGAGGACCACACCAAGACACATCATAATTAAAATGCCAAGAGCAAAAGATAAAGAGAGAATCTTAAAAACAGAAAGAGAAAGAAACTCAGTTACCTACAAGGGAATACCCATATGACTGTCAGCTGATTTCTCAACAGAAACTTTGCAGGCCAGAAGGGAGTGGCAAGAAATATTCAAAGTGATGAATACCAAGAACCTACAACCAAGATTACTTTATCCAGCAAAGCTATCATTCAGAATTGAAGGTCAGATAAAGAGCTTCACAGATAAGGAAAAGCTAAAGGAGTTCATCACCACCAAACCAGGATTATATGAAATGCTGAAAGGTATCCTTTAAGAAGAGGAAGAGGAAGAAAAAGGTAAAGATACAAATTATGAACAACAAATATGCATCTATCAACAAGTGAATCTAAGAATCAAGTGAATAAATAATCTGATGAACAGAAAAAAAAAAAAAAAAAGTCATGAAGCTACATATTAGAAATAGGGGCCCTAGCTGTTTTGGCTCAATGGATAGAGCGTCAGCCTGCAGACCAAAGGGTCCCAGGTTTGATTCCAGTTAAGGGTACTTATCTTGGCTACAGACTCCTCTTGGCCCGGGCCCTGGTCTGGGCTCGGGGAGGAGGCAACCAATCAATGTGTTTCTCTCTGTCTTTCCCTCTTTCTTCCATTCTCCCTAAAAATCAATGGAAAAATATCCTCAGGTGAGGATTAACATAAATAAATTAGTTAATTAATGAAAAAAATAAATAGGGGTAAGTAGGCCAATCTTCATAGACCAACCAATAAGTCCTTATGACAAGTCCACTCTGATGAAGGTGAGCTAGGCTCCCTTGGAAAGTGATGCTAAATTGAACACATTGTACAGAGAGGCATCTCAGGTGACACAAGGCTTTCCAGAGCTGCCAAAATAGTGTCAATGTGTACCTAGGAACTCAGCACTAAGGTTAGATTCAGTGGTGTTCATCTCTTCAAATCCCAAACTCTCAGCAGAATCACCAAATACACTCAGTAACTCTATTATTTCCTGTTTGTTCCTTGTTCACCAAAAGAACACTATCTGAATGGCCAGTACATCATGGGATGCCCATATGATGGGCCATTAGGCAGGTGTTAGAAACTACTGAGTCTTTCATAACATCAGAATACACTAAGATAAAAAATAAAAATTTACACATATAAACTTTTACTAAACTGTATGCTATAGAATTCAAGAGCATTCCAAAGCTAAATATATTTGGGAAACAGACTATCTTTTTGAGAATCACAGTACACATCATCTTTTTAAAACACTCTGAGAATTCCTGCAGTAAAGAAACTAGTTTAGCCCGGCCAGTGTGGCTCAATGGTTGAGCATCGACCCAGGATCCAAGAGGTCACCAGTTCGGTTCCCCGTCAGGGAACATGCCTGGGGTTCCAGGCTCAGTCCCCTGTAGGAGGTGTGCAGGAGGCAGCCCATCTCTCTCCCCCTCTCCCTTCCCTCTCTAATATAAATAAAAACATCATTTTAAAAAAACTTGTTTAACTTTGTTTAATTCAGCATTTCCTACATGTTTTTGATTGTGAAAATTCTTTCGTTTTATGAGAAGCACCAAATAATACTTACACACCTTCTGGGACACACACAGAAGATGTGAACTAGGTAACTGAAAAATATGTGTGAAGAAAAGATGTAATGAGAATAGATCAAATATTTAAATGTAACTGTTTAGGGTTGGTGGGGTTGTGGGTGATTTCCCCCCTCCCTGCTTCTGATAAATCTAGTAATTCCAAATGCTCTAAATGTTAAAACACTTTTGATGAAAGATAAAACAATGATTAAAACCCTCCGACTACTACCCAAACTACTCCTTGACTTAAGAAGAAATGTTGCCCTAACTGGTTTGGCTCAGTGGATAGCGCGTCGGCCTATGGACTGAAAGGTTCTGGGTTCGATTCCGGTCAAGGGCATGTACCTTGATTGCGGGCACATCCCCAGTGGGAGGTGTGCGAGAGGCAGCTGATTGATGTTTCTCTCCTATCAATGTTTCTCTCTCCCTTCCTCTCTGTAAAAAATCAATAAAATATATTTTTAAAAAAATAAAGAAGAAATGTCAGTAGGATCCAGTTTTTTCCCAGCACTCTGGTCCACATTGCTTTTTTTTAGGTCTTGGATCTCATTTTGAACCTGCAAATGCCATCATGCATTTCAGCACTGAATTTCCTTTTTGGGCTCTGTGGTCTTCATATACTCAGTAGAACATTTATTAAAGTCCTACTTTGTGCCACGTGTTGAGGTTACAGCAGTGTGTAAGGACAGCCACTGTCCTGACCTTGTGACATTTACTGTAACAAAATTATCACACTACTGGATATATAACTATAGGTAACACATTTCAAAGGGGATAATGGCCAGGCTAAGACTTGAATGATGAAGGAGCTAACTGAACACAGATGCAGAGGGCCCATTTGTACAGGCCCAGTGGCAGGAGAAAACTCAGCTTGTCTGGGAACCTCATGTGGCTGGAGAGCAAGGGGAAAGTGAAGGTGAGCCAGGCCATGCAGAGCCGCCCATGCAGGCCTCATGACGGCCATGTTAAAGATTTTGTTTTTTTAATCATAAGGGCAACAGGAAGCCCTTCACATGGCTTTACATGGTGGCACCTTAGAGATTCCACTGGTGCCATGTGGGAAATGGGTTTGAGGGACCACGATGGTACAGGAGGCCAGTTAGAGAGCTCTTGTCCAGATGACAGACAGGTGACGGCCTGAAGCAGTGACAGAGGTGATTCAAGAACATGTAGGAGGAGGAAGTCAAAGGGCTTGGTGATAGATGGATTTGGAGTCGATGAAAGGACAGGTGTCAAGGACAATCCCCAAGTTCTCACTTATGCAACTCAGTGGTGACACCATTTGTCAAAGTAGGGAACACAGAACTTTGTGTGTGTGTGTGTGTGTGTGTGTGTGTGTGTGTGTGTGTGTGTGTGTGTGATCATCAATTTGGTCATGGAGATAAAGATCCAAGGGAACATGGGTGCTCAGAGTGGAGGTCTGGGCTGCAGATTCACATTTGGAAGCTAGACTGAAACTGTGGATCTGCATGAAATGGCCTAAAAAAAGTAAAGAAAGGAAGAGAGCTTGGACTTAATCCTCAAACCAACACTTACCAGCTCTACAAAGGACGACAATGAAGACATCCCAAAGAGGAAGATCACAGTGTGGGAACAGAGGTGACAAGGAAATACTGTTGTGGGAACGAACTTGAATAATCTCAAAAGCTGCTGTGAGGTCAAGTAAAATGAGGGCTAAAAATGTGTTGTAAGTGGGGGAAGGAAACAGTAATCATGAACCACGTTTGTAGAAGTTTGACAGTATCATGTGTGTCCCACCTAGACTCCTCAATGCACGGGTAGCAAAGGGCTGAGCAAACAAGTTTTCTATAAAATGTTGATGATTTACACACATTAAGATCAACCAGTTGTTTTGCTGTGACCCCGCTTCCCCATGCCAACCATCACTTTCAGATGCATTTTGACAAGACCAGTCCTGTGCTGGTCACTGGACACAGAGAAGTGGGTCAGGTGCACTCTATGCCCCCAAGGAGCGCACAAGCTGGAGCGGGGGAGACAAGCACACATTGGTGTGCAGTTCAGTATGTCTTAAACCCAAATGCTGAAGTAGATCTAAGTATTTCAGGGGACTTTAGTAACCAGCTTTACTCTGTTGAAGAACGCTTGAATGGCCTGGGAAAGGAATGGTTTTCTGAGAACATCTTTGGATCAAAATTCACTTCTTAATGAGTGGTAAGCCATGGTTAATTTTGGTCACTAAACCTTTTTGTTTTCCACAAATTTGACCTACCAGTTTTATTTCATTTTATGATATGCAGTGAAACTTTAAGGCAGTATTCTCTGGAACTGGATTTCGTTCCAGGAAAGAAGAAGAAGCACACGTCAGTCATGTTCTCATAGAACTCTTCCAGTAGAATCAGAATTCACCTTCTGGATTCTGCACATCACGTTAATCTGGAAAAACAGACAACGTTGACCTCATTAAATAAACTGCCTTCAAGCATTTGGAAACTGGACCATTAGAGTTTTGCCCTCCATAAGGCATTTCCAGTCCACCTCAGCTCTTCATATGGGCCGCCTCCTCTCTCTAACCTGATAAAAGCACTAAAATTTGGAAGTTGCTAGAAATTATAATACCTTTGACATATTTTATTGGAGTCGAAGTTGTGATATGCACATTTATCTTAAACATTCTCAAATTAAAGTCAGGCCAGGGTCTTCCAAGAGACCCAGTGCCCACAGTCACGACGAAGATGGACATACCTGTCAGCTGGAAATCTCTCTGGGCCAATAGGGAAACATCTGGACTTTTCAGAAAAAGAGTCCGAGAATTTTAAAGGATTTATTTGATTTCTCCACATGATCACAGCTATGGTTTTACATCAATAGAGTCTGTTACTACTCACAAACAAATGCACATTAAAACAAAGCACTCTTTTCCTCCCCAAAGTTACAGAGTGGGCGTCAGGCTTCTTGTAAGCAAGGCATCCCTTGAAGTCTTTGAACAGTCTTTACTCAAGACCTGATTCTAGTCATTTAAAATAACTTGAAAGTGAATGACAGTTCTCAAGAGGAGACAGATACTGCATGCAGCCTCAGCAAGACCGCAGACAGAACAGCAACACCAACGTACATGCACATGAGGCACAGGCTCTTCCTGCTTGTCCCTTTTCACCACCCCCACTTCACATTGATTCACTGTGCAATGTTTCTTTGATTATTGTTATTTAAAATATGTACAAAATTACTCATTTCAGACAGGAAGGGTGATGATATTTTTACAACAAAACTGTAAGATGCATGCTTAATTTGTAGACACAGCTTCATACGGAATGCTGAGTCAACACCTAGGGTCATGTGTAAGTGGCTGCTGTCTTTCTAGGTCATTTTAAAGATGAAGAAGAGGCCTCTGCTGCATGCAGCGCAGGGTGGGAAGTCTCGCTCCACGGCGACTGGAGACATTGTTAACAAGATGTGCAAGTCATATTAGGATGAACTTTATTTTTACAATGTTGTACAATTCATTAATAAACTTAAAAAAGTACAAATATATGATTTAATTGTTGTCCCAGAAAAGATTTTTGTGATACTACCAGATGTTTCCTCTAAGGGTCTCCTGCTCCTGTCAGAAATTATGTAATTGAAATAATTTGTGTGACTTGAGAAGATTTCCCGAGTATATTGACACACAAGATGGCACAAGCAATGTGGTGGCACTCAGCCTCCTGAGGGGACAAGGGCTCTGTGAACAATAGGTCCCCACGGCTGTGACTCTGACAGGCTGGGATCCAGAGAGCACAGCCCCGTGAAAACAATATGGAGCACATGTTTATCAGAAGCTTTTGCTGCCCAGACAAGATCTGGGCAGCTGCCTCCAGCCTCTTCAATGGAACAATGTGCTCCTGGAAACACCTCCCAGGACAGGTTTACAAATAAAACATGGAGAATGACCAAACCTCACAGTTCTGAACCCAATACCCTGTATAAAGTTGGAAACACAGGGAGAAACTGAGTTTGTTCAAGAAGCCCTATTTCACTAGACCTGGCCCTGTGGCACTGGACAAAACTTCAGGGCACATCAATAATAGTTTTGGAGGTGAATTCTGAATGGGCCTTGGAGCACGGAGGATGCAATGGAGAGAGAGCCCCTCCCACTGGCCCCATCAATGAATGTACTGTTGGTTCTTTCTGTTTTGTTTCCCCTAGTTATTGCCCCTTCAGAAAGAGCAACCTTGTACTAAATAGCCTGTATCTTTTCTGGAACAACCTAGAATTTACAGTTGAACTCTACCGTTGGTACAGAGGGATAAAAAAAAGCCGGCATATTTAATATGTTATCACTTTACCTCAACTATTTGTCAACAGTAACACTGATATATTTTGCAAATATACAATATATAAATGTGGCTTCACACAATCAACACCGATGACACGCAGTACAATTTGACTTTTCCTTGTCAGAACAACATCCTTTAAACTGCATACTAGAGAATGCCTTGGGGAGCCTGGCTTTGAAAGAAAACCAAAGAATTCAGGAGTCAATGGACTGGGGAGCCTCCCACCAGCTGGGCCTGAACCAGATCAGGCACGTCTGTGCTTTTTATTCCTCTCTGAGCAGATGTCCAAGACAGAAAAGTTGTACCAATGGGAAGGTAAAGGTGGGCAGGTTAGTCACTTCCTTTTTTAAAAGGCGTAACTCTAGATTGCTGTATTTGCTCTCTGTGGAGATTAACAAAGTGCTCAGTTTGCAGATTTGCTGGTATGATGGCCTCAATGACATGACAAAGGAGGAAAATGAACAGATGCCCAGCCGGCTGGCTAGGGTGGGCTCCCTCTGTCGTCTGCCGTCTGGCCACAGCTCGCCACTCCTTCCACGGAGCATGGAGCTCCGCAGCCCACAGTCCTGCGTTAGCTTCGCCCTTTCTGAAAGGGCTCTCCACCTGGGCAGGTGCCATGGGCAGTCCTCGGGTCCCACGGCTTAGGAACACAGCACTGGTGGCTGCAGTGTCGCGAAAGGCTGAAACTACAAAGTATGGCCCATGTGACTCAGGCACAGAACCGGACGCGTGCAGCGCCCGGCCCCCAGGGGAGCAGATGGTGTCACAAGACGGAAGCAACAAGAGCACAGCTGAGAGTCATGTGATGCCCTGGCAGCTAACTGGACCATGACAAGGCAACGGGGGCTTCACCAGTGAGGGCTGGGCACTTGTCAGCTGGGATCAGAGGGGCCACAGTGATGACACAGGGGTTATGCTAGCACATGGCTACATGAAGTTACAATGATCATGGCCACCACTCAGAAAATAAAACAGGAACACACACACCGCCCTGGGTAGCTAAATGCTAACATCAGCCTGCAGGTTTGGAAGAGGCTCCTGTTGCAGTTGGAAACAGGATGAGGAAGTATGGCGCTGAGGGAGGCAAGGATGAGAGCTGGTCTTTTTCATGTTGGAGATGATACGTCTGCAGTATATGGTGCCCCTCTCAGAGGACTCTGAATGAGTGTGCATCAAATCATGTGCATATAAAAGAACCATGGGTCATGGAAATTCACAGTTATCACAGCTATTCAAGTGTCATGAATGTGTGTAACCAATACTCTAGGACAGCCAGTTCTTATCCAGCCATCCTGAGTTGCTCTGTAGTTTACTGCATTTTATCTATTTGCTTACCTGAAATAACAGAGCAGTTATAATACTGATTACTTATGATAGTATTCTGTTAATAAAATAAGGATTTATATAAAGCGATATTGGATTTGTTTAAATAGTAAGATGCTATGTTACTTGGCACAATTAGTAATGACTGAATAAGTAATGAATAGTTAGTCCTAGAGGGACTTCTCTGCTTTTTATGAAAATATGGAAGTATCTGAGTTTGTCCTAAGCATTTAGATTTTTGGTCTACTCTCACATTCATCTAAGGTACTATCTTTCTATCAGGTATGTGGAGCTCCTTGTAAAGTCTATATTGCTAATTTTGTGGACTGAAATGTTTGCCTTTCACACACAAATACTACCTATACAGTATATATTTATTTATTTATTTATTTATTTATTTATTTATTTATTTATTTATATATTTATATTATATAAAGTTTACTTACGTATTTTCATCAACCATATCAGGTCTACTTAATTTTGCCCATTGTCAATAAAAGAGCAATAATGCAGCAAGTTTTGGGTTTTCTGTTTTGTTCTGTCTGTTTTTTTGTGTCTTGTTTCTTCTTTTTCTAGGCTTTTCATATTTATGTACAGTTAGGGAGGAGAGAGCTGAGGGCTACAGCTGGAGACGAGGGAGGCAATATCTCCTGGGCTGGAGGTACTGTTTCAAGGTTGATAGTGCCTGTGGCCCACCCCTTGGGGTTGAGGTGGATGGAACCCAGGGCACCAATGCTAAATTAAATCAGGAGCTTTGCTCCCTATAACACAAGCCCATGTGCTCAGGGGTTCCGTTCAGGCTGCGGGGAAATGGGAGGATGGAAACAGAAGTGCCCTGGGTTTGGTCTGAGGCTGGCTGCCCCAGGCGTGCCTGTGTGGTGTGCACTTGTTCCGGAGAGTCTGGGACCCTGGCCCAAGCTGTCTACACAATTGTGCTGATGCCACTGGGTTTGGCCTTGTTGCTGGGAGGGGGCGGTGGGGCGGAGGAATGCCCGTGGTGGTGTGCTGCGTGGCCCGGATGGCTGGCATGGGCCAAGGGCAGTGGTGGGTGGCTGTGCGTGTGGGCCCCGTAGGGCATGTGCCCCCCATGGGGGCCATGGTGGTACTGGTGTGCATGCTGGATGTGCTGGGGTGGGTGGTAGTGGTGGTGGTGGTGGTAGGGGGGTGGGTTCTGCTGCACGTGGCAGTACTGGGTATGGTGCCCATGCGTCGGGACCTGCGGAGGGCCCTCTGCAGGCCCCTGGTGGTGGCCCACCATGGAGTGCTGCGGGTGGGACAGGCCTAAAGGGTGTGGGGGTGGCTGGGGAGGGGCTAAGGGTGGGTGAGCCTGAGGAGGGGGCTTCCCTCTCTTACTCCCAAATAAGGAGCCCAGGAGGGAGGATGAATTAGGCATAGTCTGGTGTGGGCGAGATGGACACTCGCGTGTTGATGTAGCTCTCCGGCGCATGTGAGGACTGCTAATGATGGACCCCTAAAAAGGAAATTCATAGAAATCAAAATTAAAAGATCTTAAAGCACTTATGTCAGAATGATTTTTTTTTTTTTTAATGTAAAAAGTTCACCCACTGACTGCTAATCTTTAGTTTAGTTCAACTCACTGCCCGCAGAGGGTGGGGCTGGGAGCAGGCAGGACTCGGCCACTTCTCACACTATTATGGCAAGTCAGTTGGGGCGGGGCTGGAGGGACTCTGAGAAGGGGCGTTCCAGGGAGGACAGGGGACACTGGGGCAGGTGAGGAGGGCCCTCCTTTCTAGTCATAGTAGCAGCAGCAATACACGTTTGGGCTCTTTCCTGACAAGCACCCTGAGCTTTCAGATCAGAAATTTGTTTGGGGTGTTTGTGAGCAGTGTGTGCTAAGGGGAGTGGGGCAGGCTAGTGTGCATGAAGAGGAACGCTGTTCCTGCTGAAATCGCAGCCTCAGCTTTCCTGGTTCCTCTCAAAGGGTCTGAGGGCATTTGCTCTGCCTGTGTGGAACCCCAGGTTTCTGGGAAGGTGGTGAAGGGAGAGGAGAGGCTTGGGAACCCTTGTCCTGGGCATGGGGGCTGCCTAGGCATTTCACTGCAGCTACCTACTGCAAACCAAACAAGAAGAAAGAAACAAAAATATCTGCAAGCTGAGGTTAAGATGTGAACAGTAATACAGAGATGGCTGAAGGATGAATGAAATCTCATGAAATCCACACTGTTTTGTTTTCTTATGGTTTTCCTCCTCCCCTGAGCTAGTTAAGCAATTCCATCATGCCCTATCTGCAGACACACAGCAATTGAAACTCCAGGAATAATGCAATGGGGTCTTCAGAGCATGGAAGTCAAGAGACTGGCCAATGGGGAGGTTGCCTGGTGCTCAGCAGCTGCTGCTTCTGGCCTAGGAGCAGTGCTGGTGGGTGGGGTGGGGGGTACCCAGGAACCAGGGATGTTAATGAACCATGCTGGGACCACAGGGGACAGGAGTGAAGTGGGAACTAAAACACACAATTCAGAACCAGCCCTCCCCACCCTCCACTCCAACCCAAACAAGCGGTGAGATTCTAGCAGAGGGGAAGCTGGCATGCACTGGGTTGAAGCAGGCAGAAGGGGAGGGGGTGTCTGTGCCTCTGTGCAGTAGTGAAAGCGCAAAAAATAAAAATAAAAAGACAACAGGTATAAACCAAGGATCAGGGAGGCAACACACAACAGCCAGCTGAACGTAGGTGCTTCCTACTTACTTCCACATTGCTCTCTAGCGATCCCGCACTGCTGCGACGCCCTCGCTTCCCTGCCCAGAACATGCAATACCAGAGGTTAGACTCAGACACAGGCCAGGGCACTGTGCTGCCACCACCACCAGGCTCAGGTATGGGGCCCACCTGCTGGGTGTGAGGGTAGGAGAAGGGGCTCAGTGGGGAAGCTGGTTGCAGGACAGTAGTTATTAAAAAAAACATAGGATTAAAAAAAATAAAAAATAATTTTTTAACCAGCTCCTTCTCCTGGACTGGCACTCTATGGAGAGGGGCCTCTGGGAGAGCTGAGGTGGGTACACAGGTAGGGCCCAAAGTCCCATGCTCAAGTTGGCCTCAGCCAGCTGCTGAGAGGGGACAGGGTGAAGGAAGCTTCTGCAATGACTAAAAACAAAATGTGGTCCTGCACCTGCCTGATTTTTAGTGAATTTCATATATGTATGGTATGTATTTGCACATACATATACATCTCACCCTCCAGGCAGGGTGGGAATCATGGTTAAGAGAAAACTAAACTTCCCATCCTTTTTCTCCCAGTGCCTCTGAGGCTGAGTGTTTGGTTTGTGCAGGGCCCTGGTCAGGGACAGGAGGATGAGTCAGGGGCTACTGGGAGGGGCCTGGAGTCCTGCTCCCCTCTGTGGGCAAACCTCCCCACTCCCCAGGATGCCACAAGCATTCTCTCAGCGCTCACTGCCAATGCCTTTTTATGTCCCCAGCTCATGGCACATGTGGGCACTCAACGTATGTTAGCCATATTAGAGGCAGGCTGAGTTTTCCTCTTGGTGCTGGATGCCCAGGGCCCATCCTGGCCGCCACAGTCCCTCCAGAGGACTTCTTCATGGGTTCCAGCAGGACATCCAGGCCAGCGGGAACAATGGTGCCCAAGCTTAGGGGTCCAGCCTCCATCAGGTCTCTGGGAATGCAGATGGTAGTGGAGACAGAGATGGGCCATGCTGCCTTCCAGGTCAGGCCCAGGAGCCTGGAAGGTGGTATTGCCATGTACCTCTCTGTGGCCCACACCTCTGTGGAGAGGGCGTGCTTATGGGTCCTTCAGGCTTCAGGGCAGCACCTGAGCATGCTGGGCCATGCCTTGAGTAAGACCTCACTCCTAGGCAGAGAATGGCAGTCTCAGGGAAGATGTAGTCCCTTTGCCTTGCCTGCTGACACCCAGCCTGAAGCCCACAGAAGGCCTTGTGGACTGTGCATGTGTGAGAAGGCTCAGAGCCCACTCAGGACAGGCCCACACAGGGATAGAGGCAAGGTGTTTCCCACCACCTGCTGAGGACCAGGGAAAATGCTAATCCCACACGGAAGTGGGATGAGAGTCACATTCCTCCTCTTCCCACTAATGTGAGGAGTGACCTTCTCAAGGCCCTCCTCCTGCCCAGCATGGGCCAAGACTCAGGAGAGCTTTAACTTAAATGCCTTTGAGTAATGTTGTTTCTCAGAGTCATCTTTTCCACTTCTCAGACCAGTATGAGATGTGGGGTGTCCCTACAGGAGCTCTGCACTCGTCCCAAAGCTCCCACTCACAGACTTACCCACAGACATCTGCCCGCTGCACACCATGTCCAGGTGTGTGCACACATGCACACACACTGTCTATGAACCGAGGCAAAGCATGCCAGAGCAGTGGCTCACACCCACACTGGCCCTCCTCTGCGCTGTTTCCAGGTAACCTTCCCCTTTTCTCTGGGTCCTGTCCTAGCTTCAAGTAAGCCCTGTCCCAGCCAGCACTTCTCCTAGGGCTTGATCAGAAACCATGTCTGGAAGGGGCTCCCAGCATGGCTCTTCAGAGCCCTCCCCTGCCTGGTAGGGTCAGGCCAGAATGCAGGCAGGGCTCTCTACCCAGAGGCTGCCCTGTGGCCCTTGGCGATGCTGGAAGCCACGCAGGTACACTTCCTCAATGACCACATCCACACACATGGCCAGACTGTGCTCTACACACTTGGCACATGCCGACTCTCACAGAGATCCTTGGAGAGAAGTGCTAGTCCCCACCTTGCAGCCGGGGAAACTGAAGCTCAGCACTGTAACTTGGCCATGGCCTGATAGCTAATGAGCAGCAGGAAGAGGGGAGAGAAGATCTTATCAGCGTGAGCCTGAAATCAGTGTGCTGAGTGTCCTCTGCGGGACTCTGCTTAGGTGGCCATCCCGAGGGCAGCCCTGAGCATGGCCCTGTCCCAAGGAAGGCTGCCACAGGTCGTTTGTATGTGGAGGGCCTGTCTTGGGGCAGCAGGTGCTGCTTTGGAAACTGGGCCCCAAGAGCTCCCGAGTCTTCCCAGACAGGATGCAGCAGGTCTCAGCTCTGCTACTGCAGCGGTGATGGGTGCAGGCAGGTCCCCCATACCCGGGGCCGTTGTGGAACAGGTAGGCTGGGAAGGGCCTACAGACAGTGCTGACCATGACTTGGCTAACCTGGGGCAGGGCAGAGGCCCAGTCACACTGCATCCAGGTCCTTGCCAGTCCTTGATCGCAGGCCAGCAAAGCTCTGGTGCCACTGACACAAACACAGGGCCAAACTGAAGGAAGACCAAGTGGAGGGACATGGAGTGAGGCCTTGCAGCTCAGTGGGAGCTTGGACTGGAGCCCAGGCCCCTTTCTCTACCACTCAGAACGTTGTGGGTTCCTGGAGGCTTCTGCTGCCAGTCATGAGCATCAAAGCATGACTGCCTCATGTGTCCTCAAGGTCCATGAAGGGCTGAGGCCACATTGCTGGTGTGTTGTCTCCTGGATAGAAGTGTGAGTGCAGGATTGGGCAGCTTCTCTGGGAGCAATGACTTGACAACCACTGAGCACTGGCTTTCCTGAGGAAACAGGCTGCCCAGGGCCTTGCCCCTTCTTGACAAGGTCATCTTGGTGAAGGCCATGATGAGTGGGAGTGACGTGAACTCTGGAGAGCTTTGCCCCTCCTAGTCCAGAGCACATAACACCACATCTCCGACTGCCGAGCCCAGCATCTTCTAGAAGGCTGCTGACACTGGCCTGTCTCCCTCTGGAAGTCACAGGTGGCCTGTCCTTAGTCTGGGGCCTTGGCAACTGCCAGGACTCAAACACCCACCTTATCTCATCCTCCAACCTTCCTGGGTCGGGGATCCTTTCTTTTCTGGGAACTTGTTTCATTGTAGCTTCATTCCTGAGAGGACACAATCCTAGAGCCCTTCTCAGCTCAGAATCCCTAAATGATAGCGGCAATAGTAACAATAAATGGAAGTCTGCCAAATCTTGGAACTCCATTCTTCACATGGCCGTGTGCCTTTCATGGGGCTCTGTCTGACTCCTAAGCTCCAAGCTGCAGCAGAGTGGGCACATGCTGAGTGCCTCAGTTCCACTGCTACCTGAGAAGGCCTCCAGGGAACAGAGAGGCCAGAGCCTGCTCCACTGCACAAACTCAAACGCAGGCCCCAGGCCCCAAATCTGCAGAGGCCCACGGTAGTCCAGATATGTGTTGCTGGGAAATCACCAGTGGTTCTCAACCAAGGGTGATTTTGCCTCCTAGAGGACACGTGGCAATTTCTGAAGGAAATTGTCATGACTGGGAGGTGGAGCAGGGATGCAGCTGAACCTCTTGCACAGAACTGTCCCCACAGCAAGAAATTATCAGAATAAAATGTCAACGGGGTAGGGTTAAGAAGCCCTGGGTTAACCCTCATGCTGGCAATGGATTTCTGATTTTCACTATGGAGAAAAAAAAATGACAAGACAAAAGCAAAGGAAAAGTCCAACTCAAAAAAAGAAAATAAAAAAGAAAGAAAACATTTCTGGGAAATAAATAAGCCAAACAAAGGGAGGCAGCTGCTGGCTAGACAGGTACCAGGTGGGGTCATGAGCAGGCTCTCTTAGGGGGCCTTGAGCTGGCCACTTGGCGATGCCTGAGGCAAGGTGGGGTGGGCAAGCCTCTAGGAGGGGAGGGGCTGCTGGGCCCCTGGAGAAGAGGACACTGATCTCATCCTGAGAAGGTCTTTCCCAACAAAGTAGGGGCTCCTGGGGCCAGGTTACCTGGGGCATTGGGGCAGGTAGAGCCCAGGGTCCCAGAAGCCTACAGTGCTGGGCACAACCCCATGCCCTCTGTGCAATGCCCTGCAACCCCCACTCCACTGCAAACCCCAAGCCTCCTCCCAGAAGAAGCTGACATAACTAGTAGGTGGCTGAGGAGACTGCCAGAGTGCACCCCTCCCCTCACTCCACAGCTTGTCTGACAGCGCAGCAGGCAAAGAAGGTGGGAGCAGCACTCACAGGCAACTAGCTGGGTCTGCACCCACAACTCCCTGCTTCACCTGCCCCTGCCACGACAGCCAGACCAAGTGAGGGCTGCCAGGAGAAGCCCCCTGGCTCCTGATACCCAGGTACAACTTCTCCCCCATCTGTGCCCCAGGAAAGCTGGGAGGCTTGAGGATTGCTGCTTGCTTGGGGGTTAAGAGGCTGGCAGCAAATTAAACACAGAAACAAAGAACAAAATTCACAATTTCCACCAGGGCTTTCCCCTGACTCCCAGGGCCACCTGTGGCTGCCACTTCTGGCTGGACAGAGGACCAGAAGGGAGACCGCTGGGGAGAAAGCAAGACCAGGGACAGTGGGAAAGGGGATTTCAGAGACAGCTTAGAAAGCTTTACTCCATTTCATTCATCAGCCTAAAGTACAGGGCATGGCCACAGAGTACACAGAACACATCTACCAGCGAGTCTGGCTCACTCTTGTAAGAGCCATTTTCAGAAAATAAATAAATAAAACTCTTAGAAGAAGAAAGGGAGAATGGGGTAACTTCCTTGCTGTTCTGCCTTTAACAATTTGGTCCTGTTTTCTTTTGCCTTTTGGTGCTGTCCCCTCTGCCTGGTCACATGCTGCTCTGATTTGGGGATGGTCATGGGAAACCCAGCAGTGTCCGTCCAAGCCCTCTACTGCAGTACCATCCCGGCGCGCAGTGCATGCCCGACCACCAGTGTGCCCGTCTGAGTCCTAGGCTCAGCTCTTACCAGCTTCTGAGAGGTCCCTCAGGGAGCTGCTGAGGGCACTGCGCTTGAGGCCCTCGCTGCTGGCATAGCTGTCGTCCAGGCAGGCTCGGTTCAGTGTCCCAGTGCCAGACTCCTTTTTGAGGCTGGAGCACTGGGACATGCTGGGCCGCACAACACCCTTCTGTTTCTCAAGCTCCGCTGAAATAGAGGAGCAAGGGCCAGTGAGAGGAGCACAGCCTGGTGAGGGTCGGGGTGGGGGTGGGCCAGGGATAGGAACCCCCACCAGGAGGAATGAAGAGGACCACTGCCCTCTTTCAGGGTTGGCACTGTACCAAGTCTCCATCTATCTGAAATGGGGAAAAAAGAAGGGCGAGCATTGTCTTGGGGAAGAAGTATGATGGCTACCTTCAACAAAAGGGAGCCAAACAAGACCTGGGAGGGAGGCGGGAGAGGCTCAAGTGCCCTGTGGTCTGCAGGAAAGACAGTCTCTTTCCAGGCCTGAGGGTCAAGAAAGAGACAGAGAGGCTCGGTCTGGATGAACAAGTGTTAACTGGCCTTTCATGGAAGGGCCAGAGGTAGGCACACCTGAGCCTGCACACCTGGAGCCAGGAGAAGCAGGGGTTATCATCAGCTCCAACAAACCCAGGGGATGGGGGTGGCTGCAACTTTCTCAGTCTGCTGGGCCCTGATGCAGAAGGTGAATAGAATAACCACATAGAACTCTGGGTGCTCCTGTCCCAGGAGGTGACCAGGAACCAGGGGCCTCCCCAGTCAGAACAGGCACGGGCTTCTGAAGCCTGGCTCTCACCAGGAGGCCCCTGCCACATTTTGTGGCCTGGGCATGTGGTCTGCCAGTCACATAGACATGGGAAGGCCAGAAAAGACCAGGACAGCTCATTTCTGTGGGCTCACAGAATCACTGCCACCATATAGGAGTCAACACCTATGTCCAGCGAATCTTAAAAGATGTCAGGGCAGCCTGGCCTGTGGTGCTCAGTGGTTGAGGTCATGTCTCGATTCCCTGTAAGGGCACAGTCCTGGGTTGCAGGCTTGATCCCCAGTAGGGGGCGTGCAGGAGGCAGCCAATCGATGATTCTCATCATTGATGTTTCTATCTCTTTTTTTTTCCCCTCTCCCTCTCTCTGAAATGAAAAACTAAGAAAAAAAGATGATGCCAGGGTTGCTGGCTCTTCCTCCTCAAGAGGTCTGTAACTCACATTCTATCCTGTGCTTCTCCATCTCCTGCACCTCCGCGATGGACTCCCTCAGGTCATCGCTGAATTTCTTCCGGTCTTGAGGATTGGGAGCATTGAAGTTTATTAACACTTTTATGTCTGCTCCAGGGACTGCAGACGTGAGCCGGATGCCATTGGGGTAGTCTGCAAAGGAGAAAGAGAACCAATGGGCCCCTGCATTCTCTGTCATCTCTACTCCTGGTCAAGAAAATACCAATCTGAATTCAAGATGGGCGTGAGGGAAGTGGTCAGAGTGCAGGTCTCAGCAGGCACGTCTGACAGGGAGAAAATGCTTCCAGAGTGCAGACTGGAAAGACCACCAGACAACCTCCACCTGCCAACTCAGGTCTGTGCTCCTTCCTATGAGAGTCAAGGAAGATCTGGCTGATGTGAGGGAAGCCAGGCCCTCTTCTCCTCCTCCGTTCTGAAGGTTAGGTGCCCGGTTCCTCATTGAGACAGCAGCCAGGTGCCGAGTCCAAGAGAGGGGCAGCACCCTGCGCTCAGTGGAGTGTCTTACCCAGTCATCTCAGGCCCAAATGGCCTCCAGACCTTTAGCAACCCTGGACGCACTGTGGGTACCCTGCACCAAACACACTCTTTGCTGAATGCAGGGTCTTTCTGCTCAGACTTGCCTGTGCCCCTTCCAAGCACAAGGGGTCTCTGGGACTTTGGTCTCCTGGAAGCACCTCTCCCCTCAGTGGGAATCAAGCTTCAGCCACAGGGAGTTTGCAGGATCTTGACTCAAACATGAATCCCACTTTTGATCCATGTCAAGGCTGGAAACGCAAATGCTTAGAAGCCATGTGACTCTCCCAAGTGCAGGTGGGACTCTGAGCACTGAGAGTGCTGGGATGGAGTGTGCAGCCAGGAGCCAGGAGGCAGGAATGAGGGCTTAGCAGTGTCAAACGTTTCTCATTTTTCAAGAGAAGCCAAAAGTATTAATGTGAGGATTTAAATATCAGCTCAACAAATTTTTAAAAGTATACAAACTAAATATAACCTAACTGAGCCAGACTGAGCGGGGCTGGCAGTGTGCGGCCCCTGGTGTGAAGGCATGGCCTGGGGAAGGGAAGGTCAGCTCTTACTCGCATCTGTGCGCAGGACCATAGACTGAGCCCTCAGAATCGGAAAATGATTCAGATACAGCCTCTGTCTAGGGATTCGGTCTAGTCCGGCTGCTGGGGACAGTGTGGGGCGGCACCAGCCCCACGGTGCTGCCTGATGAAACCCAGGCAAGGCAGGCCTTCCGGCCTTGGGCAGGGCAGATGGGGCAGGAAGTGGGGAGATGGCAGGGTTGGCAGGCTGGGTCTCTCCTAGGCATGTGGGAAAGGAGAGGGAACAGCAGGTGCCGTTCCCATTGAGGACAAAGAAGAGGCAAAGAGCCCAGACCCAGCCCGAACTTCCCACTGGCGGCTGGAGGGCCGATCACAGGGCACCGCGGCCACCTGTTGTGAGAGGATGGGGCAGCCCTGCTGCGGATACCCTTCCGCCCTCCCCTCGGGCCCTCCAGCAGGACCGTCCCCCCTCATCCTAGGAGACTGGGCCAGCCTGCAGCCCGGACCTCCGCCAGGAGAGGGAAGGAGAACAGGGACACGAGGAGGAGCAAGGTCAAAGGATACGGTCAGTGGGGTGTCCTGGTTAGGAGCCAACTACCTTCCCAAATCCCCAGACCCACGATCCATTCACACCCAGAGAAGGTCTCCAGTGGTACTTGACCTAGTGCTTCCTCTGCCAGAAGCGTTCCACACACCTCAACCCTATGGCGTAGCATCACCCACGTGACAGATAAAGGACACGCAGCCTAGAGAGGTTAAGCAGCCAGGCCACACAACCGGTTTGAACCCTGGTGGTCCACTCTGGGGCTCAGCCCTGGACCTGTAGTCCTGTATGACCTTCACCTGTTTGCCCACATTTGCATATCATCTATGCCACTTACTTCATGCTTTCTTATCAACATTTATTTAAGTAAATTTACTCTGCCCTAAAGTATCTTACCACCTGCAAGAAGTAACAGTAAAAGTAAACCAGTGAGCACCATATATAATGTTATTAAATTCTTCCCAATTACTGCTGCCTTTCAGAGCATCGAAGCTACCCTGGGCTCTGTCCTTGATGGCACAGGAGGAAGGAGAGAATAAGGTGGGTCTTGGCCTCGTGTGCACAGTGCTCCAGCACATGCACAGCAGGCCCGGGAAGCCGCACACACTTACACTGGCTCTCGAAGAGCAGGACCTGCATGCCGTACAGGGAGAAAGACTGTCGGAAGTTGTATGTCACCGAGTTCTTCTTCTTCTGGAAGATCTTGGTGACCTGTGGGCAGCCAGAGACAGAGACTGAGCCACACCATCTGCCCTGCCCTGGGCAGCTCTGGGAGCTCAGGACTGAAAATGGATCTGCTGGAGACCACGTGCTTCTGTAAGAATGACTCTGTGGTTCAGAAGTCAGGAGGCCCTGCAGGAGGAAGGACCTGATATGGGGAGGAACACACGCCCACTCACTCCTTGATGTGGACAGCTTTCTGTTCCTGCCAGCCCTAGTGCCACCCTGACTGGCTACAAAGCCCCTCAACCCAGCAGAGAGCTGGCAGTCACATTGTCGCATGTGGCACTGAAGATGTCGTGCAAGGGTCTCATGTCCAGGATCCTGTCTGATCACTGTGCCCTCGGAGATTAATTTCACAAAGAAAACAGATCCAGAGGTGTGAAGTGGCTTGCTCAAGGTCAGGATGCTTAAAAATAACTTGAACCCACACATCTGGTTCCCACCTCAGGAATCACAAAAGTGAGGCTGATCCTCAAGCAGGTGGGGACTAAGGACAGGGTCCTCCAGCAAGAAAAGTCTGTGGCATGCAGGGGGACAAAGATCCAAGAACAGGTTTCCCCTGTTCTTTGCAGAGGCATCTTCATCCCCACTGGCTCACATCCGTGCTGCCTTTTTTGGGGGACAAGCACTCCTCAATCTCCCTTTGGGGAACCCCCGTCTGCCACCCTCAATCCATTAGTCCTGGGGACTGTGATCCAGGCTTAGGCACTTAGCACCACACCTGCCTGGCCCCATGACTAGCTCTGGCACTGGAAACAACAAGACCATTGCTGGGATTTTTAAGAAGTGAATCCTACTGGTGGCCAAGGAGACAAAATTAAGCCTGGAGCAGCCAAGGTCGACTTTCCCTTCTAGGATGAAGCCTGCCTGAGAAGGGAGCCCACACAGAGGAGGAACCTACACAGCTAAGCAATGGAGATCATCAAAAGGAGTCCTGCTGACATGTTTGAGCCTCAGGAATAGCCAGGGCTGAGGCTCCAAATCCCCTTCTGAACTTTTACATAAGCCAACGAAGCCCCATTTTCAATGGTAGCATCTGTGTTAGATTCTGCTCCTGGCAACCCAGAGACCTGGGCTAACTCCACCCCATCGCCTCCACCCCACACCTGTGTGGGCATTTCCCCACATGCAGGCACATAGCCAGGTCTCCCTGCGTAACAGCTGTCAGCCATGAATCCGTGGGGAACCACGTACCACCAAGAGGTCATTAAACAGGAAGATTTCTCGCTGATGCAGTCCGAGTTTCTGGGGCTTATTTGGATCTGGAACCTCGAAGAGTCGGCAGTAGCAGACCAACCGCCGGTGAGGCAGAGAGAGAACCTGTGGGGGGGAAGGGAAGTGTGTCCTCAGCAGCCTGCTCTGCCTCTGGAGCCTGGGTAGCACAGAGTTAGCCTGAATGTGAGGAGCCCAGCCCTTGGGCCTGTGTTCCAAACACCTTTTCTTACAGACCATGCAGAATAGACCATGTTTCTGGCTTGCAGCTGTTTTCCCGCCTGTCCTGTAGAGCCAGGGTAAGGGTGCCGCTTCTGGTGAGACCTCTGCTCGATTCTTTCAGGCAGGTACAGACTCCTTAGAGAACCATGTTCACATGTGAGCCCCCAGCCAGAGGGGAATGTTTGTTTTCTGAGTCCCCAAAGTGCCCATTAGTCTCCTGTAAATATTTTTTCTAGAGAGAATCTACCCTAGATGAGGAAACTGAGGTACAGAGAAGCTGACAACTTGCCTCAGCCACACACGAGGAGCTGCAGAGCCTTGGAGTTGTCCCATTCTCCAGACCCCTCCTAAATAATTAACATTTCTGAAGCATGAAAGACCCTATCCAAACTTGAGCCAGCAGTCACTGCTCTGTGGGGCCTGGTCTGACCCTCTGCTCTGTACACCTGCCTCTGAACACACCTGTCACAGATTCAAAGAGCCCCCGACCTTGCCGAAGTCCAAGCTGCTATCAAGGCCTAGTATGACAAACCATCATGTAGGCCCACTTGTGGCTCTGGGAGTGCTCCTAAAGCCCACAGGAGACAGATGGGTCAGTAAGGAGACAGTACATGCCCAGTTAAGACCCCCAGAGGGTAAGCATAGTAGTAGCCAAGGAGTATTAACTCTGCAAAAGGTGCCAACTCTGCAAGGGTTGAAAGGTGCCCGAGCTCAGTACATTAAGAAGACAAGATAAGGGGAGGGAAATGCATGGCCCAGCCTGGCACAAACGCAGGAGGGCTGATTCAGGGAACAATGTTGACTGGAGCAAAAGTACAAAGTAAAGAGGATGATGGCTTTTGGGGCTGGAGAGGTGGACAAGGGCAGGTCACAGAAGCACATTTTGGGGACAGAGCTTGGGCTGGGTGGGGAAAGAGAAGGCCCTCCAATAAACATCAGTGTCTCAGTGTCTGGGGACCAACCTGGGTCTCTGAGCTCAACTGGGCCTAGAGGAGAGGGAAGGAGACTGCTTTCAGCCTGACAGCACAGCCTGTAATCTCTGGGCCTGCAGAGATTTGAGTCTGGGTTAATTATGAAAATCATATTTCTTATTGCTGCAGAATTAACTCAAGCAGCCAGAACTATGGATCTGGGAACAGGAAGATGTGGGCACACGGGGCACCCCTAGGGTGGGATATTAGCCAGAACGTGAAAGCAGAGGGATACTCACACAGCCAAGCCCATGATGCAGGGATCCAATCTAAATGGGGAAATAGCAAACAAAGAAAAAAATCAATGTTGTAAAAGATGCACCTGGGTGCCTGAGAGGCAATGCCCGCCCAAGGCATCTTTCCTTAGCTCTATCCAGCCACACCCAAGTGGGTGGACAGGAAAGGCCCTCTCACTGGCAGGCTGAGGGCATTCCCAAGTCACCAAGGAACTGTGCAACCCTGCCCATTGGTTTATTAAAATCCTCAGCTTCTCCAACTTTAGCCCAGAGCAAATGGTTGTTATTCCCAAATATTAGAAGTCTTTTTAAAGAAACCCAAATTCTCAAAGAATTCACCAGCCCTGCCTGGAAGGGGCATCAGGGCCACTGGCAGAAACTGAGGCCAGCAGGGCACTGGGTGGGAAGGGGGGTGTGAGCAACTCATGCCCCCAGCAACTCCCCTGGGACATAGGGCCACCACATACCGGCTTCTTCCCCACGATAAGCTTCTCCACCTTCTGCACCTGGGACACGTGGTCCTCATTGGTCTTCAGCTCCCGCTTGCGAATCCGTTCATAGATACCAATCAGTGTCTCTCGGGGAATGTCCTCACCATCGTCTACACCTAGGCAGGAGACAGTGGCCAGGCGTTAGTCAGGCTAGGGCAGTGATGGCGAACCTTTTGAGCTTGTCATGTCAGCATTTTGAAAAACCCTAACTTAACTCTGGTGCCGTGTCACATATAGAAATTTTTTGATATTTGGGGAGAACCAAGATGGCGGCATAGGTTAACGCCGGAGTTTGCTGCTTTGAACAACTACTTCAAAAGTGAAACCAAAAAACGGAAGGGACATCACCCAGAACCACAGGAACGCTGGCTGAGTGGAAGTCCTACAACTAGGAGGAAAGAGAAACGCATACGGACACTCAGAGGAGGCGCAGTGCTGAAGTCAAATTCTGAGGTGCGGAGTGCGCGGAGCGGGGCTGGTGGCGGAGGGCGCGGTTGGCGTTTTCAATCGGGAGGGAGTCGCAGACTCTGAGCTCCAGATCCGGGCGAGTCTTTAGCGACCCAGACTCAAACGGGAGAAGCGGGACTGTCTGGCTTCGGTCAGAGCGAGTGCAGCTTTCTCTCCGAGCTTTGCAGCGGGTGCTGGGACTCAGAGAGGCAGAGCCCCTGGGGACAGGACTGAGAGCCGCCATAACTGCTCTCTCCGGCCCACCCTGTTGATCCTGTTCGACCCGCCCCACCCAAGCCCTGCACACAGGCATTTGCCGGATAGCCTCAGGCAAAGGCTAGATTAGCACCTCCCTAGAGGACAGAAGTTCTCTCACTGCTGACACAGCTGATTCTCATAGCCACTTGGCCTGGAGGTCAAACCCTCCCTGGAATTAGCTACAACAATCAAGATTTAACTATAAGACTGCGAACAAAGACCACTAGGGGGTGCACTAAGGAAGCATAACAAAATGCGGAGACAAAGAAACAGGACAAAATTGTCAATGGAAGATATAGAGTTCAGAACCACACTTTTAAGGTCTCTCAAGAACTGTTTAGAAGCCGCCGATAAACTTAATGAGATCTACAAGAAAACTAATGAGACCCTCGATCTTATATTGGGGAACCAACTAGAAATTAAGCATACACGGACTGAAATAACGAATATTATACAGACTCCCGACAGCAGACCAGAGGAGCGCAAGAATCAAGTCAATGATTTGAAATGCGAGGAAGCAAAAAACACCCAACCGGAAAAGCAAAATGAAAAAAGAATCCAAAAATGCGAGGATAGTGTAAGGAGCCTCTGGGACAGCTTCAAGCGTACCAACATCAGAATTATAGGGGTGCCAGAAGATGAGAGAGAGCAAGATATTAAAAACCTATTTGAAGAAATAATGACAGAAAACTTCCCCCACCTGGTGAAAGAAATGGACTTACAGGTCCAAGAAGCGCGGAGAACCCCAAACAAAAGGAATCCAAAGAGGACCACACCAAGACACATCATAATTAAAATGCCAAGAGCAAAAGATAAAGAGAGAATCTTAAAAACAGCAAGAGAAAGAAACTCAGTTACCTACAAGGGAATACCCATACGACTGTCAGCTGATTTCTCAACAGAAACTTTGCAGGCCAGAAGGGAGTGGCAAGAAATATTCAAAGTGATGAATGCCAAGAACCTACAACCAAGATTACTTTATCCAGCAAAGCTATCATTCAGAATTGAAGGTCAGATAAAGAGCTTCACAGATAAGGAAAAGCTAAAGGAGTTCATCACCACCAAACCAGGATTATATGAAATGCTGAAAGGTATCCTTTAAGAAGAGGAAGAAGAAGAAAAAGGTAAAGATACAAATTATGAACAACAAATATGCATCTATCAACAAGTGAATCTAAGAATCAAGTGAATAAATAATCTGATGAACAGAATGAACTGGTGATTATAATAGAATCAGGGACATAGAAAGGGAATGGACTGACTATTCTTGGGGGGGAAAGGGGTGTGGGAGATGCGGGAAGAGACTGGACAAAAATCGTGCACCTATGGATGAGGACAGTGGGTGGGGAGTGAGGGCGGAGGGTGGGGCGGGAACTGGGAGGAGGGGAGTTATGGGGGGAAAAAAAAGAGGAACAAATGTAATAATCTGAACAATAAAGATTTAATTAAAAAAAAAAAGAAATTTTTTAATATTTGCAACCATAGTAAAACAAAGACTTATATTTTGATATTTATTTTATATATTTAAATGCCATTTAACAAAGAAAAATCAACCAAAAAAATGAGTTCGCGTGTCAGAGGTTCGCCATCACTGACTGGGCTAGGGTCTGGGTGGTCCCTTCAGTCTCAAGCCTCAGGCTTACTCCAATTTACCAGTTTCTAACCCAATTCAGAACAGTGATCCCTTTCACCAGTCCCAGCAGAACCACAGACCTTCCAGACCCACAGCTACTAAACATCCTCAGTCAACCACAAATTCCTCAGAATCCTTCCACCAGGGACAAGGCCAGCACAGCCACCTGGACAAGCACAGGAGGGCTGATAGAGGGCTTTATAAATATTACCTTGCTGATCCTGACCACAGCCCCGTGGGGTGGGCATACCATCCCTATTCCATAGATGAGAAAGCCAAGGCCTGGGGAAGAGATTAGATTTGAGGTGAGGGGAGGGTTTGTAAGTTTAGTTTCCAACACTGAGCCCATCCTCACTTCGCCCGTTGTTAGCCTTGTGACTCAATCTTTCTGAGCTGAGCATCTGTGAAAAAGACCACCAAGAGCATGGGTGGCTTCTCAGAGCTGTGGTGAGAAGTGTGAGCAGCTCTTGGCATGCCCCTCCAAGTGAGATCTTGGTGCATTTGCCAGCTGTTGTCCCACATCACATGGGCAGAATCCAGGGGCAAGACTCAAACCTGGATTGCTCTGACAACAAGTGCATACCTTCTGCTACACCACTATGAAAACTGCTGTGAGAAAAGAAACTCAGCCCTACTCACAGGAGAAACACAAACCCACATCCATCCTTAGACCACAGACTAGCTCAACCAACCAAAGGATTAGTAAAACTGTTGACGAGGCTATGGGGAGGGGCTTGCCAAGTCCTTTGACCTAGCAGAGGGCCTCACACAGTGAGTGCTCCATGCAGGGAGTGACCATCTGAGTGCTCTGAAGTGAGCTTCCCTGCCCTCAGGGGCCAGCCAAGCTTGGGAGGGGCAGAAGTGCTCCTCTCTATGTCCTGGTGGCCTCTGCTCTCTCCAGTCTTCGTGTTATGGCAGTACCCACCACTAGGGGGTGCACCAAGGACCTACAGATCAGAGGGAGTTATCTGACCCAGGAGAGGGATTGACAGAGCAGCCTGTACTACAAAAATAAAGAAGAGTAGAAATTTTAAACAGCTCAGCAAGCTCACAGTTGGACTTGATTTAGACCAACTTTTGTTTCTTTTAAAAAAATATGATACCTCCTCCTGGCTGCTTGAAGATTGGCCGCCATCATGAACGACACAGTAACTATGTGGACCAGGAAGTTCATTGCCAACATACTTCGGCGGAAACAAATGATCATTGATGTCCTTCACCCTGGAAAGGCATCAATACCCAAGACAGAAATTCAGGGAAAACTACCAAATTGTATAAGACTACACCAGATGTCATCTTTGTATTTGGATTCAGAACCCATTTTGGTGGTGGCTAGACAGCTGGCTTTGGCATGATTTATAACTCCTTTGATTACACAAAGAAAAATAAACCCAAACATAGACTTGCAAGACATGACCTGTATGAGAAGAAGACCTCAAGAAAACAGAAGGAACACAAGAACAGGATGAAGAGAGACAGGGGCTGCAGAGGCCAACGTGGGTGCTGCAGAGAGTGAGCTGGAGATGGGACCGCAGGAGTCAAGATTCTTCAGGGACTTGATCTGTGGTGACTGTGCAGATTTCCATGAGAGGATTAATAAATTAAGAACTTCTGGGTGGAAAAAAAATTAAAATATGATGCCATTTAAAGGGGACCTCAGCCCGCTGCAGCTGGTATTTCCCGAGAGGACCCAGCTCCTGCTCCCTTCCTTCCAGGAACTCCAGGTACACAAGGCCCATGCCATCAGCCAACATGGAGTCAGCTGGAAGACAGCTGTTCCCTTTTCGATTCCTTCCCTATCCAACGCCAAGAAGGCCTCCCTTCTTGCTGCCTACTGCCGGAAACCAATTCCAGCATGACAGCAGGGCTGAATCTGGGAATGGCTGATGGCATTTCCCCAAACCTGAAAAGGGATGATTGTTGGCTGCCAGACAGCTCAGGGCATCTTAATCTACATGTTATTGCCTCCTACTGGCCAAACACCTGAACAGCGGTAGGCTAATTCCCCCATTCTGATAATGCCTCTGTATTGGAAACCCTGACCCTTTGAAGTGTATTATCTCTGCCTCGCCTCGGGACAATTTGTGTTAATAAAAACCATGGGGTCCTGGGACGAGGAGACCTGAGATCTTCGACCTTAGAACTTAGATCTTAGTTTCCTTTAAACTAAGCTCCTCTGACCCCCAAATGCCTTTCAAAATTATATTTCGTCTCCGGACTCCTATTTAATCTATGCACAGCCTTCTCCAGATTGCTGAGCCCTTCTTAATGCTGGAACAAGAACCCCGGCAGCCTACCTCATCAGTACCTGACATGGGCCCACCTGCCAGGAAGAGAGGGCAGCCTCAGCCTCAGGGCCCAGCCAGAAACAGCTCCTGCTGGAATCAACAGTGGTATTTTCTTTTCATTGTATTCATTTTCATAATGACTGCCTATGTGTGACAAATGCTACTGGTTTCCCATTTACAGTGGTGATATAAAGTTCCTTTAAAAACATATTTAAATAAATAGACAAAAGCAAAAAGGCAAGACAGTTTCAAGAAGAACATGAAGTGTAAAGGATGAGTAGCTGGGCAGATGCTGTGAGGGATGCAGCAGTGATGGACTGGGATGTGCTGGCCCATCTGTCCAGCTCCCGCCTGCTGGAGGTCTCAGGGCTCCCAGCACCTAGGCTCCATTCTGTGCTCCTACACATACTTCCAAATAGGCCTTGGTCGACCTATGCCTGGCCTGGCCTGGCCTTCTGGTGCTGTGATGATCTGGTTTCTCCAGTCTCTGTCCCCTTGTGACTAATTCCCCTCCACCTGGACCTGCCAAACCCCTGTTCATCCTTTAATAACAGGCTAAAAACATCACCTTCTCCAGGAGTTAGGTTTCATGCATCCCAAAACTCAGGCAACACTTTCTCTTTATGGTAATTTGTACTTTGTGAACGCATTGTTGAGACCAACACTGCTTGAAAGCCCATCTGAGCAAGAACTGGGTATGCTGCAGCCAGGCCTCCTAGCTCTCCCCTGCACCCAGCAGGAGGTAATGTAAATTTGCCTCTCAGCCCCACACATGGTGGGGCTCATGCTCAGAGTTGTCTGTGGAGGTGTGTGTCTGAGCCTGGGGCCGGGACAGCTCACCTCGGAGGTTCTTGACGAAGTCCTCCAGCTTCATCTTGCGCTCAGGCTTGACGTTGGGGCTGTACATGTCTGTGTTGAGCAGGATGATGGCGAAGGCCAGGATGAAGATGGTGTCTGGGTTCCGGAACTGCCGCACCACCCCAGGGTTGCAGATGCAGTACCGCTGGCTGGGGGCCGGGGAAAGGGAGGCGGGTCAGGGCTCCTTCAGTTGGGGCAGGGAGTGGATCTGCCTGTCACTCATGAGTAGTTGCCATAGCTCCACCTGGCACTGAACAGCTGAGGCTCAGCTCCTGCACCTGGTAAACAGGGACAACACCTGCCTGGCAGAGCTGCCCTGACTACACACTCAACCTCTCACCTGCACTATAGCTGGTAAGCAAGGACAATACCTGCCTGGCAGAGCTGCTCTGACTACCCACTCACCCCTCTCACCTGTACTGTAGCTGACAATGGCTCTCGGGGGAAGACAACGTTCCCCAGGCTCCCTAGGAGCTGGTACAACCACGTGACTAAGTTCTGGCCAACAGGATATGGGCACTTTCAAGACTGTGTCTTAAACGGCAGGGGTGTGCCCTCCACTCTCTTGCCCTGCCTGGAACTGGGGTGAGATGAAAAGAGCCTGCTCCCTGCACCAGCTAAGAGGGAGATGCACTTCTGTCTTGTTTCAGCTGTAGCTTCTGGGCAGCTTCTTAGACACCTGAACTAACAGCCTCACTGAGTGATCTGTGCACTGTACTCACTGCCTCAAATGGACCCCCGCCCTCACCTCTAAGAGGCCTCTCACTGGTAACCTCATGGAGGCATGGTGAGAGGGGCAGAAACAGAGAAGAGGAGCCAGGTGGGGCATTGCTACTGAAGCAATAGCCATCAGTGCTCAGGCAACGTGGGCTTCAATTCTGTCTTGTGACACCTCTTCCAAGAAACCCTCCTGGAAGGAAGTGGCTGAACATCCCTCTTCTAGGCCCTGGGACTGCCCTCCTCCTGTGTCTTCATTCCTCCTTGGCCCACCACTGGTGCTGAGCCCAAAGTGCTGGAGCAGCAGTTGACTTGTGTCTGTCACACCCAACAAGGAACACAGAGACCCCTACACAGTGTACACACAGTCCCAGGATGGAAGACTGTGAGGTGACCTTGAATACAGGCTCTCTGGGCTGTGTGCCCACACATACTAAGTGGGTTAAGCCTTCCACCCTGTCTAGGGTAGGTACTCGTTATCCCCGCCCTATAGGCAAGGACTCAAGGCACAGAGAGGTTAATAAGCAAAAGGTCACACAGCTGGTAAGCGGTGGAGTAGGTATTAGAACCAGGTCATCTGGCTCTGCAGCTCATGCTCTGAGTCACTGTGAGAGAGCAGCTGCCCCGTAAAAGGGCAGATGAAGGAACACACAGATGGACTCAGAATGGATGAGGCGCATGAGGACTTGGAGGAAGACAAAGACTTAAAAAACCCTGGCTCTAGCACTAACTAGCAAAGTTCCTGGCACCCAGGAGGGGCTTCTGGCTCACCTCCCAGGTGAGTTCAGGGCCACCCGATCCTGTGAAGGGGGCTAAAGGGATTAAACCCTTTGCTAGGAACCTTCCTCTCCCTGATGCCCTCCCCCTGCCCCACTGCAGCCCCAACCTGAAGGCCTCGATGAGCCGCTCCACCTTCTGCGCCTCCCCCTGGACCCGGATATGCGCCTGGAACTTTCTGAGGGCTTCGTCCAGCTCCATGGCAGAGAAGTCCATCTCATCCACCACGCAGCTGAAACAAGACAAGGCCATGTCAGTGTCCGCTGCCTACAGCCTCTGCTGCCTTCCCACTAGGCTAGGTGAGCACATGCTTGCAGAGTGGAGCAGTGGGGTTGATGAAAGGGAGCCAGGGAGCTGCCTGGAGGGCCGTAGAGGCAAAGCTGCCACTTGTCTGGGAGGGCATCTGCTTAGCTTCCTCCAATCAGCAAACTATTCAGATTATGGCCAAAGATCCCTGTGCTTCTGGGGAATCCATAAAGCCCTGAAACTGTAGGAAATGTTAATGTTTATACCTATGTGTGCAATTTTCTAGACATACAGGGAGCCAGAGCATACAACTATTCTTAATAAGGACCCTTTGTGCAGAAACAAATGTTACACAGATGTAATGCAGACGTAATGCAGGAGTCTTCTGGCATTCTGAGGGAGCCAGGAGCACACGCCCATCCTCACAAGAAGGAAGTGGAGGCTGGGCACTAACTCTCCACACAGTAGTCTCACAGAGTCTGTGCTTCACACCAAGGGTATGGGAAGAGGTGGCTGGGTGTTTCTGAAACCATCCTCGTGTGCCAATCAGAAGGATGAAGGGCAGAGCTTGGGGAGGCCTCTGGTTCTTATCACAGCCAAGCTTCCACATTACAGCCCGCTCAGTTCTCTGATCAGGACACTTAAACAGAGAATGTGGGGTCCGAACTAAGGACCCAAGCAGCATAAACTGGTGTCTGGTTTACGTTTATAACAAAGCCATAGCCACCCTTGGGGCTGTGGAGGCGTCAGCCATAGGGGACCTAATTCTACACCCAAGGCCTACCTCCACTGGGGGTGATAGGCTATGATAAGCTGTTGTGCCCCCAACCTTCTCTGAGCACTAAGGGCTTTTTGTGGGGAAAGTTAGGAGGTGGGGGGCCACCTGGGACAATCTGCTGACCAGCTCCTGAGTAGGATGCTGGTGTGGAGGGTAGAGGTGGGAGGAACCTCACTACTTTCTGAGGTCACTGCTATTTTCTGATCCAAGGAGAACAATGCACGGATTTCCTTCAGACCAGAAGCCAGGGCACAGAGGGGAGTGCAGAAATAGCTATAGGGGAGGGGGGCTGCACTGCAAGGATTTTAGGCCCAATTCACTAAGGAGCTAATCTGTTTCCCCTGAACCATTTCCTCATACCAATTTAAAAGGAAGGGGGATGGGGTGGGGAGGAGATTAACCATACTAACAACCCAGCAGGCTTTCCAGAATGAGGCCAGAACAGAAACGCTGAGCTGAGCAGGAAGAAAGCAGCTCAGATGGGCACACCTGGCCAAGAAAGGACGCAGGCTTCGTTCTGCTGGGTACTGGACACATACCAGCCATACTCCTGTGTGTGTGTATCTGCGTGTGACTGCATGAGTATGTATGTGTATATATGAGGCCGTGTGTGTTTGGGGGGAGGGAGGGTGCACCCAGGCCAGGCCCTCTCCCTTTGATCCCGGGTTTCCTCACCTGTGGTACAAAGAGGCCACAGCACCCACCTACCTCCCCCAGGGGAGCATCAGAGGCAGCAGGTATACATGTGGCCAGGCCCTTCCTCATTGCAGAGAGGGCCTGACTTCAGGGGGCCACCCCTTGCTTGTCCTTTTCCCAGATGAGGCAGGGGCTGGACAGATGGAAGCCACTGTTACTGATGGTTAGCTCTTTACTCTGCTTTTATTTCTGTTTCTGGACTATCTGCCCAAGGTCAGCATATCAGCTCATAACTGCTTGGGTCAGAAAACGCTTCAACAACAGGCCTGGGGAAAATCCCTCAGGTCTCGGCAAAGGGTGAGCAAACACATGTACTGAGCCATCCCATTCCACTGACTGGCTTCTCATCTGTGAATGGGGGTCATCAATCCCTGACATCCACCCCCATGGGTGAGATGAGAACATAGTAAACACAAGGGCCAAATGCAGGTGCCTTTTTACTCAGGAGTCTCAAAGAGGAGTGGAGAGTGTAGGGTACATGCTGCGCAGACTTCTCAAAACTGCCAGCAGTTCCCAGGGAACTGGAAACCCGTTTTTTCTGCAGGATTCCAAGCAGCTGAGTGCTATGGCTGCCAGCTCTCTGGGCTGGTGAAATGTGGAGTGATGAGATGGGGGTTGGACTTTTACCCCCTGATCTCCCATCCAGGAGAGGCAAGAGAGAGAAGCAGAGGCAGTGATCTGGGTGTGGTGCTGCCCATCTTGGAGGCGCTGGAGTCTCTCTTGGCCAGCTCCCAACCTCCATCAAAGGGCATCTGTCAAGGCCCTGACCTTGCACACCCCTTCCTCACTGAGTGCTCAGTGGCTCAGTCTGCCTGAAGAGGAGTGGAGGTGCTAAAGGTGTGTGAAGGGGGCGCCCAAGGGTAGATGCCCACATGTATGCCTGGCAAGGTATGTGTGAGATGGTATTGGTGTCTAGGAGCTAGAAAGAGGTAAGGGGAGGGTTTGGTATATGTCCCAGCAGCAGGGCAGGCCTGAGGGTCATGGAGTCTCACAGGAACACGTCCATGCCGGCCCAACCCCCAGTCCCAGAACTCACTCCAGCACATCGCGGTTGAATTGCTTCTGCCTGTTGCCCAGGAACTCGCCAATCATCTGCCGGCTCAGGCCCTTGCGTTGCAACAGGAAGTGGGCTACTCCCACTGGTGTGTCTGGCACAAAGCCACGCTCAATGAGGTACTGGATGCCCTTCTCAGGCTTCCTGGGGGGGTGGGATAAAAGACAGGCTCAGCTGTGGCAGCTCCGGCCCCTCCAGGCTTGCTCTTACCTCTGTGGGCACTCCAAGGCACCCCAGCTGAGACCCTTGACTCAGGCACCCTGTCCCATCCCCAACCTGCAACATGGGGGAACCTAGAACTTCCCAGACCCTGCGCCAAGAATGGACAAGACTGGGTCAGCCACAGGAGCATAGCCATGGGTGCTAGAGCAGGGACCCTCCTCAGCTGCCCTGCACTACGCTAAACCCTGGCCCCATAACCGGCCCCTGCCCACCCAGCTTTATGCTCCCCACTGAGTAGAACCTGGTGCCCCATGCTGCACCTCCAGGCAGAGTTGAACAACCCTTGCCCAGCACATGCTAGTCTGCCTTCTACTGTCCTCCATCCACCTACATAGAAAAAACAATCTCTAACACCTGCTGAGCACTTACTCTGTGCATCACTGCCTAAGCCAGTGATGGCGAACCTATGACACGCGTGTCAGAGGTGACACGCGAACTCATTTTTTTGGTTGATTTTTCTTTGTTAAATGGCATTTAAATATATAAAATAAATATCAAAAATATAAGTCTTTGTTTTACTATGGTTGCAAATATCAAAAAAATTTCTATATGTGACACGGCACCAGAGTTAAGTTAGGGTTTTTCAAAATGCTGACATGCCGAGCTCAAAAGGTTCGCCATCACTGGTCTAAGCACTCTATACCCACTAACTTACTTAATTCTTACACTCCTCCTTGGGGTCAGCACACTTGTTACCTGTGCTGTTTACGGGCCCAACAACCTTGTTACCTTGCCTTGTTGTAAGAACTTGCTAATGGTCAGTTCCTAGAATGATACCACAGTAAGCACTGTGAGAGGTTCTTAGGATTAGCCTCAACTTATGAGAGGAAATGGAGGCATGGCACAAGCCCTGCCTGGGCAGTGGATGAGGGCTTCACAGAGGGACTAGGTGTGTCCACCTGCACAGGGAGCTGTGGGGCAGAGAAGCCCCCCAGGGGCTTGGCAGTGAGCCCAGGCAGATCCCTCCTCCCTTTGGGCCTCCATCCTCCTAGTGGTTGTGTAGTATGACATGAGCCTGGCTGAACTCACAAGGAAGTACTGGTGGTCCAAGGAGACAGGGTGAGGAGAGAGGGCCACAAATGTGATTCTTGGAGGGCAGGTGCCCTCCTCTGACACCAAAACCTGTGGAGGACTTGGGGTACACCTGGCACCCATGCCAGCATGGGATAAGTTGAGCCACCCACTAACTGGGGGCTGGCCATACCCATGTCCCAGTGGTCAGTATTCTGTTGCCTGGGGGCATGGAGATGGCCAGTATCAACCTGCCTCCTCAATGCACAGCTCCTGGCTGACAGGAGTGTCTTGAAGATACTGGATTTCCACACACAAGCAAAAGTGACCCTCCTGCTGCAAGGTGACCCTGCTATTTTTATCCTGGATGACCACACACCCTGACCTCACCCTCAGGAGCTCGGTGGGGAGCAGCTGCCAGCCAGATGGTTCCTGGCACTAAAGTGGTGACAGAGTAGCCCTGTTCCCTCACCCCTGCCAGGGCCCCCCCACATAACTCATTCTTCCCCATGACTCTGTGGTCTCTGACCAAGAAACCCCCATACTCCAGGCCTCTCCAGCCACTTGGCAAAATGATAGTATGGCCAGGGCGGGAGTTTCCTCACCAATACACTCCACACTGGCTTCCACAGGACCCCAGCCCATGCCTCCCTCCCTCCCTCAACTTCAAAATGAGGGGTCACCCCAGGTCTGTGTTCCTGCATGGCAATGACTGGAGGGTTGCCCTAGGCCTCCCTGAATCACCCACCCACACCTGGCCTGCCCGGCCCCTTGATGGCCCCAATATAGTGTTCAGGTCTAAGCCCAGCCTGCTGCTGCTCCCGGGGTTGGGGGCTACTCTCCCTTCTCTGCCCTCACCCAGCCCCTCCTGTGTTCATGTGAAATGTCATGTAGCATCATGGATTTCAGGGAGATGGCATCTTCTACCCTGGAGAAGCTCCAAGTGCAATGGGATAGGACACACTGCAGGAAGGAGCAGCTGTGCAAGGGGCCCTGGAAACACAGATCCTTCCCAGGTCAAGCACCATGTCTCCCCTCTGTGCCAGACACCACTTGGGACAACAACAGGGAGCAGGGCCAGCCACGACTGCCCAGCCACAACTGCCCAGCACAATGGCAGGCTGCCGCCCACAGTCTGAAGAGCAAAGGAACTGAGTGATGGCCAGAGGATGTGGGGAGGGGCTCCTGCAAGTGAACTAGAGGCCTTCTCTGAGCAGGTGACACTCAGTGACCAAGGTGAGGCAATAGCAAATGTAAAGGCCCTAGGGTGGGAATGAGTTCTGCAGGACTGAGGACCAAGAGGCTGATACAGGGTAGCTGAGAGTAGGGGCTCTGAGGCACAGGGAAGGAGGGCAGTGTAGGGGTGAGGGTAGACCACACAGTGCTGTGTAGACCACATGAGTAATCTGGTTTTCTTCAGAGTGCGATGAGTGTGGCAGTGACAGGACCTGATGTCCATATTTAAGAAACTCTCATTGGCTGCTCGGTAGGGAGCAAGGCCAGGCCCAAGCTAGAAGACTCCCGTAGGCCTCCAGGCAGTGGTGCACAAGGTGGGGGGACAAAGATGATTTAGGACATAATTTGAGGGTAGAAATGACAATATTTGCTAGTGGATCCACGTGTGAACCCGATGGCCCCAGCTTTTAGGCTGAACCACATGTGGGAGGGACTGGCTCCACCTGGAAGGTCTCATAGTGACAACGCAGGAGAGGACTCTGGACTGACTGCACCTTGACCATGACAGGAGCTCACCAAACAATACAGAGGAAAGGCTGGTGGCAGAAGGGACAGGTAAGGAACTAGGTGGGGTGGGGAGGCCAAGCCAAGCTGAGGGGTTTCAAGGTCAGGATGAATGTGGCTGGCAAAGGAGCCTCTGACAGGTCTTGGAGTGACCTCTCTGGCAGCATACAGCCAATGCGCTGCCTATCTGCCAGTGTTGAGTCTACCTGTTGGGACCTTGCTGGCCCTGGGTGACACTGGGCAGGGTAGTAAGGCCCCTCCTGCTTCCAGTGTTCCTCACACCAACTGTTTGCCAACAGCCTAGACCAGGGGTGGGCAAACTTTTTGACTCGAGGGCCACAATGGGTTCTTAAACTGGACCGGAGGGCCGGAACAAAGGCATGGATGGAGTGTTTGTGTGAACTAATATAAATTCAAAGTAAACATCATTACATAAAAGGGTACGGTCTTTTTTTTTTTTAGTTTTATTCATTTCAAACGGGCAGGATCGGGCCCGCGGGCCATAGTTTGCCCACGGCTGGCCTAGACCGACTTCTCCAAATCAACCAGCGCTCTCCCTCCCAGGAGCATGCCCTCACCTCTCCCCACCTTCTTCCCTCACAGTCATGCATCTCCTAAACTCTAAGGGACCTCATGAGGCTTGCAACCAGGGTAGCAATAGGCAGTGGCAGTTCATCCTGGCACACTCCCTGACCCTCTTTCGAAAGCCCCCTTTTCTCTGATTTCGTAGTGTGCCAAAGCAGACTGGCCTAGGCTCATTTCCCCAGCCCCTTCCTGTTACATGTCCCCAGCTTTAATAAACTCCCTCTAAACTTCACCTGGACTCTGTTGTGAAATTTTTCCTGCACAAAGTCAAGAAACCACACGCTAATGGCTGGCCCTACTAGGTAGACCTGCCAAGGGCCAGGTCCCCTTTCCAGTAACAATGCCACGCCAATAAATTCAAGTAAAAAAAAAAATAAAAAAGACTAATAGAGTGAGAAACAATCTACTGTGAAATGTGGTTGAGGGAGACTTTTTTTTCTGGACTCTACCTGTCCACTCAGTTGGGAGTTCCCACATAAGAAAGAACACGGTATCTGCCAGGGACCAGAAAATCCCCACGTCATCTCAGCCTCCCCCAGGAGGGCACAGGCCTGGGTCTAAGCTGATCCAGGAGCTGGCTGTATCCTGGAGCAGGTGGGGCAGACTTTTTGGACAGAGCTCAGGATAGGCTCTGACATGACCTTCCCTGCTGTTTAGCCACAACTCGCACAGGGCCAGGGCTGGTCCTTATGTGCAGCAGACCACAGGCAGGAAACAGCACCCATGGCAGATGTCAGGTGTCCAAGACTCTTAGTTCTGAGCTGAGTGATGACCAATGACCGCCAGACCACTGGCCGACCCCACAGGAACGCAACATTCCTTGTTCCTGCGCTCTGGGACACACCTCTCTGAATCCCCCAGAGAGCACTTCCACTTGCACCAGGGATGGCTCAAAAGTGCCCACAAGACTCCGCCACTCTAGGAGATGAGGAAGTAGGAAAGTTTGGTAAATGTGTGTTAGTAACCACCTGGCAAGCTGGCCATGTCCTCAACCCTGGAGGGGTCAGAACCAAGCGCGTGTCTGGTAACCCCAAATCCTGGAGGCCCCGTGAAAGGAAATGATGTGAAATCTGAGGTTCAATAACCAGAGCTTTCCAACATCTCCTCCAAGGGAGTGCTCCTTCCCCTTCAGGTTGCTACTTTTGGCAGTGCTTTGAATTTGGCTACCATCAACAAACCCACAAATGACAAGTGCTGGCAAGGATATAGAGAAAAAGGAACCCTAGTACACTGCTGGCGGGAATGCAGACTGGTGCAGCCATTATGGAAAACAGTATGGAGTTTCCTAAGGGAAAAAAAATATGGACATGCCATTTGACCCAGTGATCCCACTTTTAGGAATATATCCTAAGAAACCCAAAGCACCAATCAGAAAGAATATATGCACCCCTATGTTCATAGAGCACAATTTACAATAGCTAAGATCTGGAAACAGCCCAAGTGCCCATCAGTAGATGAGTGGATAAAAAAGCTGTGGTACATTTATACCATAGAATACTACGCAGCAGTAAAAAAGGAGAATTTCTTACCCCTTGAAACAGCATGGAGAGACCTGGAGAGTATCATGCTAAGTGAAATAAGTCAGCTAGAGAAAGACAAGTATCACATGATTGCACTCATATGTGGAATCTAAGTAACAAAATAAACTGATGAACCGAGTGGATCCAGAGGTGTGGAAGCATGAAGCAAAGTGGGGAATCTCAGAGGGAAGGCGGGGGAGGGTGGGTGAGTAGGAGGTAATCAACCAAAAACCTTGTATACATATATGCATAACCCATGAACACAGACAATAGGGTGCTGAAGGCCTGGGGTGGGGAGCAGGGGCGGGCTGAAGGGGATCAATGGGGAAAAAAGGGGGACAGATGTAATACTTTAAACAGTAAAGATTTATTAAAAAATAAATGTAAGAACTAAAAACAAACAAAAAAGAATAATAGCCTGCTTTAAATGCCAGTCTCTGTCCTTTGTTCTACTCTCATGACTGCCCCTATACTACCTTTCCAGAACTCATGGCGGGTGGCGGCCCCTCAATAGACCCCGCTCACACACCTCCCAAAGGGCTTCACGCTGGCTGAGACTTCTGTCAGCACAGGTTTATCTGTGTCCTCCCTTCCCTGACACGTGCCTCCAAGTCCAGGCTGCACACAGATTGCATCACGCTCTTGCTCAGATCACCCGGAGAAAAATATCCAAACTCTGGAGCCTGCTGCTCACAGCTAGGCATGGCATTACACATTGCACCAACCTTTGCACATGTTTCCTGAGCATCTGCTGTGCACTGGTCACTGTTCTAGGTGTTGACAGGGCCCCAAACACTTTAGAGAAGCCCCTTGTTCTTCCCTGCTCAGCCTGTTAGTGTCTGCTCTCCCCACAAACCTGTTCACCAGGCTCCCATCTCCCTGCCCAACAGCACTGGCCCTCCCAGGCACTCTTACAGAGCCACCCCACTGGTGCTCAAGGAGACACTTGGGCATGAGAGGAAGGCCCTTGCCAAGGTCCCTTGGGTGTTAATGCCCCACCTTCCTCTTCCTTGCAGGGCCGGCAGGCACTCACTTGTTGAAGAGGTTGAGACCGATGCGATAGTGCCTCTTACGGATGACATCGTTGCTGAAGGCAGGTGAATCCCAGCTGTTGCGGGTCTCCTTGTGGTAGGTCTGCTTGCTGAGCGTCTGCTCCCGCAGGCTGTCGCGGGATGACGACTCAGAGCTGCAGTTGATGGTGTCATTGGAATTGGAAGTGCTGTTGACGCTGTCGTTGTCCCCATCTGAGTAGTCTGACTCAGACTTGCTCTGCCTGTTGGCTGAGCCATTGATGGCCAGGTGGCTATCGAGGGGCCTGGAAGGCCGGGCTCGCAACTCTGGCTCCTCCCGGGGCAGGCCCTTAGGGGGGCCACCGTGGGGGCCGGGCTTGGGGCTGCCCTGCTGCCCACTGAGGCTGCGCTCATAGGCACTCTTCCTCTTGAGGGAGCCACGTTCCGAGCGGTCGCTGAGGTCCACTGAGCTGTCGCTGGGAGGCTCGATGGTGAGCAGTGGGAGGTGCTCCACCCGCAGCCGCTGCTCCTGCTGCTCAAGCGACGGTGTGCTCTGACAGCTTGTGTCTGTGTCCCCCTTGTCATCCTTGTGAGCCAGGGCCCAGTAGTCCTGGGCGGCACTCCCAGCCCGCAGTTGCAGGTCTAACTCAGTACTGGATGACCGGTGGCCCGCCTGGGAGAGGGGCAGAGGCGGTGACAATTCCTCCTCATCAATATACAGGGTGACGTCACTGTACGAGGCTGTCATCTCATCCAGTTTGTGGTGGTCCACAGTGTGCAGGGCTGCCTGGGGCTCAGTGTCCCGGGCTCGCCCTGTGTCAGGGACTGGCGTTTCCTCAGCATGAAGGCTGCGGCAGTTGAGGGCATCGTCGATGGATTCGGCCAGGGATTTCACTTGCCGGGAGAAGGCATCCTCCAGCTCAGTGATGGCATCTGCAAAATCACTGGATGGGGCTGAAGACTTGAGGGATGGTGGCTCACCGAAGTCACTGCCCTCAGATGGCACCAGGGCCCCTAGCTGAGAGCCGTCATCGGTCACTGAGACCTGCTTCCCTTCAAAGTAGGAGCTGTGCATCTTCTCAGGCCCCTCAAAGGAGAACTGCATCCTCATGTTGGACAGCACAATCCGGCGGGACATACGGTTCTCCGACATGGAGCTGCGCAGGCGCTCAAAGTTCTTGTTCATCTGGTACTGGCGGAAGGCTGTCTGGATGGTGCGGGCTGCATGGCGGGTCACGAGGCGTCCCCCATACTTCCGTTCTAGCATCTCCACCTGGAGGGAGAAGCAGAGGAGAGTGGAGACATTCCCAAGTGCTGGAGTAACACATTTCCTACCAGCAGTCATTCCCTCCCCAGCCCATAGCGGCCCCATCTGGGAAGGCTTTAGCACATCCCAAAGCTGCTTAGAAGAACCACTGGTGCATGCTGATGTGCAAAATCTGGGTTCTAAGGTTAAATAAGATGGAGAAACACCATGTTAAAATTAAGGCAAGCATGTTCCCTGTAGGACTTCTCAGAACCTTTAAAAAGTGGTGATTTCCCACACTTCTTTAGCCACAGAAGCCTTGGCCCTTGCACATCTTTTGGTATGCAGATTAACACAACTTTGGAAATCTTAGAAGACAGGAAGGCAGCACCTCCAGAGAGAAGGAACCAGAGGCATGGGCAAATTAAAAGACCTGCCAGCCCTGGCCAGTGTTTCTCAATGGTTAGAGCATCGGCCTGCACACTGAAGGGTTGTGGGTTTAATTCCTGGTCAAGGGCAGGTTTGATCCCCACCCCAGTCGGGGTACATGTGGGGTGCAACTGATTGATGTGTCTTTCTCACACTGATGTTTCTCTCTCCCTCTCCCTCCCTTCCACTCTTCTAAAAATCAGTGGAAAAAAATATCCTCAGGTGAGGATTAACAAACTAACAAATGACCTGCCAAAGATCTTGGCGAGGTTCTGGACACTGAGCATAGGCTTAGGCTTCCAGCCTTGCTTCCTTTCTGTGGCACTGACAGTGTGCTCTTGCTGGCCTGGAGGAATCACTAAATTTTAGGGAGGCCTGAGAGAATCGCCAAGCTTAGGAGGTTTCTAGGCCAGACGCCTGGATTCTAACCCTGGCCCTGCTCAGAAATGTGTTGATAACTCAATGAAACTGAGGCAAGTGTCCAGCACATGCCAAGCTCAGGGACACTTGGGGCTAAAAGACCCTGAAATATATTCCTGGAAGGTGTTGACAAATTAAGAGGTTCCCAAGTCCCCACACTATACAGACAAGGAAACTGAGGCCCAGAGAAGAGACGCTCTCACTCTTTGGAACCACAGGCCCTGACAGTCCTTTCTCCTTGAGTTAGGAGATGGGGCAGTGCTGCAGGCAGGTGAGAGGGACTGGGACTTCCTGAAGTCCTGAAACTCATGCCAGTCCACTTGTGACCTAGGACAGCTCTGAGGGCTGCTCTGAGCCTCAATACTGAGTGAGAAACAGATGTATACCTGGAGCTAGAGCCTGCTCAGTGGAAATGCAAGAGACGGAACTGGCTTCTCCCAGGGAGCCAGGAAAAGCAGCATCTGCTGTGGAGCCAAGAGAACTCTCAAATCCTCGAGAACAATCCACAGTGCTCAGGGAGGCAAAGCAGTGCACCCTGCTCACCTAGGTTCCACCTGCCTACTCGATGTGGGCACTACACCAAAACTGGTAACACAGAGACAGGTCACTACTCTCAAGAAGCAAACAGCTGACTAGGTTTAAAAATGGCAGCAGAGTAAGTGATTGCTGCATGGACATGCTCCCAGGAACAAACTGGAATTAAGACTAAAATACAGAAAAACTTCCTGAACAATCAACGGAAGACTCCTAGGAGAGAACCTGATATCCGAGGACCAAAAGTGGAGACCCCATAGAGACTGCTAGGAGGGGTGGAGGCGTGAAAGGGCTGACCAGGTGCCCACAGACAGCAACTGAAGTTCTGGAGAGATATATCAGTTGTGGGGCCTCTGGCATTTAATCCCCTAGCTGGGCTCCCCAGCAGAAAGCATCAGAACGGAGAAGGGTACCCACATAATATCTGGGTGTGAAAAGCAGGGTTGCTGTCTGCTAGGGAGTGACAGCTAAAAATTCAGGCACCCTCTAAAGGGACAATGCACAAAATTCTCTGTGGAGCCACCCACCTTGTGCTCTGGTGGAGGGAGGGCGGAGTAGTCTGGGCTGTGTGAGCAGAAGCCAGGATTGGGGACTCAGGAGATAGAGCTAAGAAGGCAGACACCCCAAGTTTCCTGTGCTGATCCATTCCCTCACCCAGTGGAAGACATCTTTCCCACACAGACATTTGCCTTGCCTGGAGGAAAGACAGTTGACCCACCCTACTCAAAAACAATTTGCTCTAAGGCACTGTAATCAAAACAGTCTGGTACTGACACAAGAACAGGCATATAGATCAATGGAACAGAACAGAGAACCCAGAAATTGACCCAAGCCGTTATGCTCAATTAATATTTGACAATGGAAGCAAGAGCATACAATGGAGTTAAGAGAGTCTCTTCAATAAATGGTGTTGGAAAAATTGGACAGATACATGCAAAAAAAAAAAAAAAAGAAAGAAAGAAAAGAAAATAGACCACCAATTACACCATACACAAGAATAAACTCAAAATGGATAAAAGAGCCCTAACCGGTTTGGCTCAGTGGATAGAGCGTCAGCCTGCGGACTGAAGGGTCCCAGGTTCGATTCCAGTCAAGGGCATGTACCCGGGTTGCAGTCACAAGGGGCGTGCAAGGGGCAGCTGAATCGATGTTTCTCTCTCATCAAGTTTCTAACTCTCTATTCCTCTCCCTTCCTCTCTGTAAAAAATCAATAAAATATATTTAAAAAATGGATAAAAGACTTAAATGTAAATGGTGAAACCATAAAAATCCTAGAAAAAACCACAGGCAGCAAAATTTCAGACATCTCTCGTAGCAATATGTTTATAGATACATCTCCTAGGGCAAAGGAAACTAAGGAGAAAACAAACAAATGAGACTACAGCTAAATTAAAAGCTTCTGCAGAGCAAAAGAAACCATCAACAAAATAAAAAGAAAGCCCACTGTATGGGAAAACATATTTGACAATGATACATCTGACAAAGGGTTAATATCCAAAATATATAAGGAACTCATACAGTTTAATAAAAGGAAGACAAACAATGGGCAAAGGGACCTAAACAGTGACTTATCCAAAGAGGACATACAGAAGAGACATATGAAAAAATGCTCAAAGTCACTAATCATCTGAGAGATGCAAATCAAAATGACAATGAGGTATCACCTCACACCTGTCAGAATGGCTACCATCAACAAATCAACAAATGACAAGTGCTGGCAAAGATGTGGAGAAAAGAGAACCCTAGTACACTGCTGGTGGGAAAGCAGACTGGTGCAATCATTATGGAAAACACTATGGAGTTTCCTCAAAAAATGGAACTGCCATTTCACCCAGTGATCCCACTTCTAGGAATATATCCTAAGAAACCCAAAGCACCAATCAGAAAGAATGTATGCACCCCTATGTTCACAGCAGCACCATTTACAATAGCTAAGATCTGGAAACAGCCCAAGTGCCCATCAGTAGATGAGTGGGTAAAAAAAGCTGTGGTACATTTATACCATGGAATACTATGCAGCAGTAAAAAAGGAGAATTTCTTACCCCTTGAAACAGCATGGAGAGACCTGGAGAGTATCATGCTAAGTGAAATAAGCCAGTCAGTGAAAGACAAGTATTACATGATCACACTCATATGTGGAATCTAAGTAACAAAATAAACTGATGAACAGAGTGGATTCAGAGGTGTGGCGGGCTGGCACAGCCATGGCATACTCAGCCCCACACTGAGCGCCTTATGTGCCATGCCAGCTCAGCGACCCTGAGAGGGGGTGGTGAAGGATTGAGAAGAGAATGAAAGCTGGGTCTGGGTGGGACACTGTCCTCTCTGATGGAGAGCTTCTCTGATGGAGAGCTTCTCTGATGGAGAGCTAGCGCCACAGACTACAAGCCATGTCTTTATTTAATAGCCAAATTCCACGAGGCACAGTAAGGGAGTGGTCAAGATGTTTACAACATTCTTGTTTCGATCCTACTCAATTACCTGCACCTGAACTCTATCAAGCCCACATCACTCAGAAACGTGGGACCACATGAGGTTCAAGCTTACAACTATAGCTGTTGGCTATAATTGTGCTGGGAGGGCTCTGCCCTCCAAGCTGGGACTTGCACGTGGCCATGAGAGGACTGTGCCCTCTCATTAGTCCGAGGCTTGAACCTGTCCAAACACTGTAGCTGCGCCCCACACAGAGGTGTGGAAGCATGGAGCAAAGTGGGAAATCTCAGAGAGAAGGCGGGAGGTTGGGTGGGTGGGTGGGAGGTAATCAACCAAAGACCTTGTATACATATATGCATAACTCATAGTCACAGACAATAGGGTGCTGAAGGCCTGGGGCAGGGGAGGGGGAGAGGGCGGGCTAGAGGGGGTTAATGGGAGGGAAAGTCCATATGTAATACTTCCAACAATAAAGAATTATTAAATTGTATATCATCAGTCAGCAGTGACTGACATGGTACTTAACATGTTAATTTAAAAAAGAAAAAGCGAAGAGTTACCCTGGCTGGTATGGCTCAGTTGGTTGAGCATCGTCCCATATAACAAAAGGTTGTGGGTTTGATCCCTGGTTGGGGGCATGTAGGAGGCAGCTGATGGATGTTCTCCTCTCACATCAATGTTTCTATTTCTCTCTCCCTCTCCTTTCCTCTCTCTTTAAAAATCAATACAAATTAAAAAAAAAAAAAAGAATCAAAGAGTCTGTATGGAGAATAGACAGAAAGGCATAGGTGTCACTAAAATAAAGCCAAACAGATGCTGGTGTCAGGGGAGAGGGTTGCTCAGAGCCACTGTGGGGGCTGGGGAAAATGGCTCATAGCCTCACACAACCAAGTGTGGGTACTGGTCCCCCACTTGCCGGTTGGTAGTCTGTTCACCTCTCTGGAAAGTAAGAGCCTGCCCAGCTCCATGAGCCACCCTCCTCAGGGATGCCAGCTCCCCCAAACACGGGACACACTAGCTCTCTGGGGTCCATAGGAGAGGGGGCGGCAGGTTGAGCAGAGCGGCTATCTTAGCAGAACAGGGGAGGGGAATGGGTGGGTGGGTAGGGGGTGTGTATGACTCAAACTGACTTTTCAAAGCCTGGCCAGTCCCAGAGTCAGCCAGGGTAGGTCTGTTTTTTTCCCTCACCCTGAAGGTGAATTCACACCCACATTCTGTACGCAGAGGTTATTTGGGTTTTGAGTGCAGCCCTGTAAGTCCACCGGGCCAATAAAGGGCAAGCCCTCTCTTCTCCACCCTCCCAGGCCTGAGGTCCTGGGCCCCTTACGTTAGCCTTCAGGGGTGGGGGTAGGGGCCACGATGCCAGGGCCACCAGCTCAGGCCCAGAGCTGACGCCAGGGCCTATTTTCTCCTGCCGACTTGGGATCTCACAAACCAAGCAGCAACCCTGTTTGCCTGAGACAGGCTCCCCAAATCTGGAGTTGCAGGGGAGGGAGTGAAGAGGGACTTCAGGAAGACAGACATGGGCTCTGTGTTTTGTCATCAAAGCCCCTCTCAGTCCCTCCTACCTGGCCTCCCCCAGAACACACACATTAACCCAGGCCTGCTCTTACTTGTCTCTAAGACTCACCGTGGCCATTCTGAAATCCCTCTCAGCCAAAACCGACCCAAGGCCTGGTCTGGAAGTTCAATGGGATACAGGGAGGAGATCCAGTCAGTGTATGCTCACCTGACATTCACAATGACGTCCAGTCCGCAGATACTCACAAGGACACACACTTCTCAGAGGAGGCTCAAAGACATAGCGACAAGAAGCCAACCCCAGCTGGGTCTCTCCCATCAAGCCTGCTGCCCGTTCCCAAGTGGCCAAGAGACAGGCCCCACCTACCTGCTTGTCCTGCAGGTCCGAGGAGAGCTCATAGCTCTCAGAGAGGGAACGTGAGCGCTTGATGGCCTCCTCCTCGGCCTGCTTGCGCAGGATGGAGGTCGAGTGCTGCAGCTTGGGCCTCCGTGTGCGCTGTCCCAGTGGCCCTGAGTACAGCCCATAGGCACCCACAGACGTGTGCTCGTAATGGTCTGGGCTCAGGCTGGAGCCAGGTGCTAAGGGGTCCTGGTGATAGGCCGAGGGACTGTCCAATGATGTGCAGGTCTCACTGCTGGGGGCCTCGCCCTCCACACTGTAGAAGAGAGAGGAGAGAGGCCTCCAGTGAGCAGGAAACCAGAATCCAGGCATTTCGGGGCATTAGGAGGTAGGAGGGAGTAATGTCCAAGAGGCAACCTAACCACATTGCAGTGGGACTCCACACCCCTAGTCTTCCTACTTCCCCTCACCCTCCTACAGTCGACCACCCTGTACAGCTAGAGGGACCCTGCCAAGACTCTCTGCTCCACATCTTCCTGAGGCTCACCTCCCTCAGGGTTCATTTTCTCTGTAAAACTTATCACCTTCTAACATCTAACACTTTACTGATTTTGCTTACTGTCCATCTCCTACACAAAAATGTCAATTTGTGAGGACAGATGTTTAGCCCATTGATACACCTAAAGCAGGGCCTATACACAGTAGGTGCTCAGTAAGATTTACTCACTGACTGAATGGACCCTGTCACTTCTTCTCCCTCACTCCTGCCATCTGCATTAAGTAAAGCCCTGATTTTGTAGTTTCGTGTTTTTTTTTTTTTTTTAAAAAAAAAACAGTAATTAATAAAAGTGACTCTTTATTGCACCTACTCAGGGATCATAAAGTACCCCCAGTACTTCAGAATATGCCTTTATTTGAAGGTAGGGTCTATAAGAGATAATTAAGTTAAAATGAGGTCATTACAGTCCTAATTCAATATGACTGGAATCCTTATGAGAGATACTAGGACACAGACACACACACAGGGATGACCATGTAAGGACATGGTGAGAAAGTAGCCCTCTATCTGTCAAGGAGAGAGGCCTAAGAGAAAGGAGCCCTGTGACACCTTGATCTCAGACTCTCAGCCTCAGGAACTGTGAGGAATAAACATCTGTTGTTAGAGCCTGTGGCACTTGTTCTGATGCAGGGACTTGCCTGAGGTTGCATCGATAGTGAGTAGGATTAAGGCCCAACTTGGTGGGACTCCCAAGACCAGGTGCTCCCTTCCACCTCCTGCCCCTCATCCACAGGGCACATATATATTCTCCCAAAGTTCCAAGCACCAGGGCTGATGAGGGGAATGGTTGACTTCATCCCAAACTCATGAACTCAGCTGATGGACACTGGTTACCACTGCAGACTGCTCTTCAGCATAGGACACGGAGCGAAGGGAGAAATTTATACAAGATATTTCTAACACAGCTTCTGGTACCCCTCTAGTCATGCCTTTCCATTTGCCTGTGCCTGTAGAGTATCACTCAACCTTTACAAAACCCTGGGGCCAGGGCAAGGTCTCTCTGGGGCCCAGTACTTCAGAGAAGGGATGCAGGCCCTTCCCAGGCTACTGTCCTTCCTCAATACTCCCATCTGCAGACTAATGGGAAAGCCTTGCATTCAAGAGCCTCGGGGTCAACTGGTTTAGCCCCCTTCCATTGCCTCTACTTGTCACAGGGATTGGCAGGGCCATACTGCCAAGTGTAGAATGTGAGAATGTTCACTGACTCCTAGGTGAGACTCGAAGTAGGGGTTAGGGAAGGGGACCCTGGAACAGAGAGGGCCAAGACAAAGGCAGCAGACCAATGCAGTCTATTCCAATTCTGCCCTGAGCCAGGTCTGGGTGGCCAACTCATAATACAAATAGACTTCCACTCCACCAACTGGCCTTGCTTCCAGGAACATGCAGTGGCTGTCCTGTGACAAAGGACATCTCATTCTGCTCCCCAGAGGCTAACGTGTGACTAGAGGTCCTTCTCTGAGGAAGAGCCCTGGGCTAGAAGTTAAAAGACTAGATGCTTTGCCTTGATCTGGCTGTGAACCAGGGTGGGTCAGTTCTCATTTCAAGGGCTAGATGCCTTTGAGGGATCAGAGGAATGAAAGGGATGGGGACACACAGAACTTAAAATGCTAGTATTGTTTTTACTAGGGCAGTAAGGGGGCTCTGTAATAAATATAACCAAAAGTAACCTCACAGGGTGATCTGATCATAAATTCCTAACAGGGCAGGTCATGGTGGGTAGTCATGCCCCAGACCTATAAAAGACTTATCTTTTCCTTAAGCAAAGCCCTGTCCAAAATGCCTTTTTCAGGGCCCTCAGAAGTAATCATCCTCAAGGAAGCACATAATTTTAACTATACTGTACTTTGTTTTCTCTCAACTTCATGTAAGCTTCCTCTATTCCCTCCTTAATTCCAAATGTATAAAAGACACTGCAAAACTGTTATTCTCTGAGCATTTGAGATCTTACTTCCCAGCATGTCTTTAGTTTGGCTCAAATAAACACAAAAATTCTCTATAGGTTTGGACATTTCTTTTTTTTTTTTTTAATTAAATCTTTATTGTTCAGATTATTACATTTGTTCCTCTTTTTCCCCCCCATAACTCCCCTCCTCCCAGTTCCCGCCCCACCCTCCGCCCTCACTCCCCACCCACTGTCCTCATCCATAGGTGCACGATTTTTGTCCAGTCTCTTCCCGCATCTCCCACACCCCTTTCCCCCCCAAGAATAGTCAGTCCATTCCCTTTCTATGTCCCTGATTCTATTATAATCAACAGTTCATTCTGTTCATCAGATTATTTATTCACTTGATTCTTAGATTCACTTGTTGATAGATGCATGTTTGTTGTTCATAATTTGTATCTTTACCTTTTTTTTCCTCTTCCTCTTCTTAAAGGATACCTTTCAGCATTTCATATAATCCTGGTTTGGTGGTGATGAACTCCTTTAGCTTTTCCTTATCTGTGAAGCTCTTTATCTGACCTTCAATTCGGAATGATAGCTTTGCTGGATAAAGTAATCTTGGTTGTAGGTTCTTGGTATTCATCACTTTGAATATTTCTTGCCACTCCCTTCTGGCCTGCAAAGTTTCTGTTGAGAAATCAGCTGACAGTCGTATGGGTATTCCCTTGTAGGTAACTGAGTTTCTTTCTCTTGCTGTTTTTAAGATTCTCTCTTTATCTTTTGCTCTTGGCATTTTAATTATGATGTGTCTTGGTGTGGTCCTCCTTGGATTCCTTTTGTTTGGGGTTCTCCGCGCTTCTTGGACCTGTAAGTCCATTTCTTTCACCAGGTGGGGGAAGTTTTCTGTCATTATTCCTTCAAATAGGTTTTCAATATGTTGCTCTCTCTCATCTTCTGGCACCCCTATAATTCTGATGTTGGTACGCTTGAAGCTGTCCCAGAGGCTCCTTACACTATCCTCGCATTTTTGGATTCTTTTTTCATTCCGCCCCTCCGGTTGGGTGTTTTTTGCTTCCTCGCATTTCAAATCATTGACTTGCTTCTTGCGCTCCTCTGGTCTGCTGTCGGGAGTCTGTATAATATTCGTTATTTCAGTCCGTGTATGCTTAATTTCTAGTTGGTTCCCCAATATAAGATCGAGGGTCTCATTAGTTTTCTTGTAGATCTCATTAAGTTTATCGGCGGCTTCTAAACAGTTCTTGAGAGACCTTAAAAGTGTGGTTCTGAACTCTATATCTTCCATTGACAATTTTGTCCTGTTTCTTTGTCTCCGCATTTTGTTATGCTTCCTTGGTGCACCCCCTAGTGGTCTTTGTTCGCAGTCTTATAATTAAACCTTGATTGTTGTAGCTAATACCAGGGAGGGTTTGACCTCCAGGCCAAGTGGCTATGAGAATCAGCTGTGTCAGCAGTGAGAGAACTTCTGTCCTCTAGGGAGGTGCTAATCTAGCCTTTGCCTGAGGCTATCCGGCAAATGCCTCTGTGCAGGGCTTGGGCGGGGCGGGTCGCACAGGATCAACAGGGTGGGCCGGAGAGAGCAGTTATGGCGGCTCTCAGTCCTGTCCCCAGGGGCTCTGCCTCTCTGAGTCCCAGCACCCATTGCAAAGCTCGGAGAGAAAGCTGCACTCGCTCTGACCGAAGCCAGACAGTCCCGCTTCTCCCGTTTGAGTCTGGGTCGCTAAAGACTCGCCCGGATCTGGAGCTCAGAGTCTGCGACTCCCTCCCGATTGAAAACGCCAACCGCGCCCTCCGCCACCAGCCCTGCTCCGCGCACTCCGCACCTCAGAATTTGACTTCAGCACTGCGCCTCCTCTGAGTGTCCGTATGCGTTTCTCTTTCCTCCTAGTTGTAGGACTTCCACTCAGCCAGCGTTCCTGTGGTTCTGGGTGATGTCCCTTCCGTCTTTTAGTTTCACTTTTGAAGTAGTTGTTCAAAGCAGCAAACTCCGGCGTTAACCTATGCCGCCATCTTGGTTCTCCCTGGACATTTCTTATATCAACATTTACTTGGTGTAGTAATGCAGGATTCTGAAGAAGCCCACCCAGGACCACCCTGCAGACACATAACTGGGGTACCCCATGCTAGGTACCAGCAAGGGCCCATTGTGCCCCACTGGCTCCCTGCGTCACATTGGGTACACTTGGATGAGTTTTCTTTTGAAATCCTGGACCTTCCTGTTTTAGGCAGCTGATCCTGAATTTATCCGAGCTATTCTTAGAAAATTCTTGAGGTAGAAAAGGGTTGAGATAATCCAGGGAAAGTAGAGTAAAATGGGTTGCTGCTTTTAATTTTAGGTGTTTTTTTGTTTGTTTGTTTTGTTTTTAAATTTGATTGCTTACTGAGAATCTGAACAAAATCTTTCCTGGTTAAATGAGAGACTGAACTCTTGTTAGCTCCAAAAGAGAAAGGACACTTCATTCCCCAACCTGAATCTCAGGTATTCTTAGGTGACTAAGAATCTTTGTGGAATTGCTTGAGGAAATATTTTCTCCAGGGTGTAAAGCAGTCATTCCATAGAGGGATTCACCATATCTGGCTCATCCAAAGAAGGGCACACATAAAGGCTGATTTTCCCTAGAAGTTTGTTTAGACTCTAAAGATCTCAAAGGAAAACTAAAAATAACTGGGAAATTGTGCCTCAGAGGCCAACAAGTCCCACAACTGTCAGCCTACCATTAATACTTCTGCAGGATCCTTTGTTACTTCAAATCTTTGTTACTTTTCAGGAACAATTAGAAAAAGCTGGCTGTAAAATTAGGCAGAATGAATGGAAAACATTTAATTGGTCTCTAAAGCTTCAAAAAGAAGATTTAGA